GACGGACCAGGCTGTAATCCAGCAGGATTAAACCACAAGCTGCTTTGCCCTGCCCTACCTAGCCAGTCACCATCAGCACACGTGCTGCTTCCCCCCGCCCCCAACCCCAGCTCATTATTTTTAAAAGGGGTTGCGGATTTTGTTGCGACAGCAGTAAGGATCACGGTTTTTCACAAGGAAAAAGTACAGTAAGTATGCTGCGTGCAAAGCAAGAAGTATCCCTGTTGCATCTGCAGCAACGCCCAGGTGTCGTATTTTCTTTCATCTTTATGAAATATGTAATCACAGCAGCTTGGAAACGAGACAAACCACAATTCCAGCACCCCTTGCGTTTTTCCTTCTCCCAGTGCTCCATTTCAAGCTTATCCAGACTGACTTCCCTCCATCTTCTGTCTCATACTTAAGCTTTACAATCTTACCTCAAAGGTTTCAGCGCTGTTACCTTCACTTCGTTCTCCCCACCATCCATCCATCACTCCTCTTGCAGCCGTCTGCCTTTTCTTCAGTGCAACTGTCGCTGCTTCAAAGATCGTCTCCTATACGCCAGCCTGATTTTCCTTTCCAAAACTTCTGCTTAGGTTTTCCCATCAAATATTTTAAAATTAGAACATCCTAAAATGTTTTATTTAAAACAAAACAATTACCCTAACTTTCACATTTTGGTTAACTGAGTATTACATCTCAGAACCACATTTTGGGGGGATTTTGGTGGGTTATTTTTTTTTGTTTGTTTTTAAGGATTTTATTATACATTACAATGTATTTGAGCTGTACAACAAAATAATAATTTCAAAAGTTCTGATTGTAGAAATGTACAAGCCACCAGAATCATGTTCTGCAAGGCAGAGGCTACAGCCGTTCTTTGTGAAGATCGGGTACATGTTTGTACCCATGCAATGTGTTTTATTTCAGGACATTCACCTTACTGCTCCTTTTCCCATATTTGAATATTGTGCCGACTGGTTTTACCCTTACGGGTATCCAGGGACGTGCTTTCTGTTACCAAGCAGATGCAACAGCTGGTTGAGGGAGATCTTGCACAAGCACCCATGAAAATATCCACGGGTAACTGAAGGTGCACGCACAACTTCCACTCACTTCAAAGGCGAAGGAATGCGGTTTTGGAAAACCTTTTTGTCCCAGTGTTTTTATGGGACATAAACATTTATGGGTGCCCTAAGCAGGCGGCCCAGCCCAACAAAGCAAGCCAGCTGACAGAGAGTGTAGAAAACCTTTTTTCAGAATGGCTACACAACTCCTCCACATCTTGTCTATAAGCTGAAAAAAGTTCCTGTACTCTATGTCTGATATGTACTCCCCACGCAGAAGCCACATTTGGATTTTATTATGAAATTTGAACACTTCGCTTGCTTCCCCTGAAGTTCCCACACCTTTCTGGAGCGAGAAGCATGCCGTTAGAAAAGAGATTTGATTACAGCCTTCATACACAGCACTGCAGATCACAGTTCTCTGCCACTCATAGATCAGGAACAGCCCCAGGCATATTAGAACCATGTCAGTGAAGTGCAGAAAAGCGATCGAAGTCCTAACTTCTGCTAGTGTCTGTTCTTTGTGCCCATTATGAATAGGCCAACTGAATTCTGTGGAGGAAGTTAAACAAACACTGAGTACTTAATTTATTTCCTTGATAATGTACCTGTAGTTTTCCTTAATCCGTTTACAAGAGGGAAATACAGAAAACAGCAAGCAGCATTCAGTTGGTCAGACACAAACATCTATACCTGGGAACTTGTCCTGGTTTCGGCTGGGATAGATAGAGTTAATTTTCTTTCTAGTAGCTGGTACAGTGCTATGTTTTGGGTTCAGTATGAGAAGAATGTTGATAACACACTGGTGTTTTCAGTTGGTGCTAAGTAGTGTTTAGGCTAAAAGTCAAGGATTTTTCAGCTTCTCATGCCCAGCCAGCAAGAAGGCTGGAGGGGCACAAGAAGTTGGGAGGGGACACAGCCAGGACAGCTGACCCAAACTGGCCAAAGGGGTATTCCAGACCACGGGACGTCATGCCCGGTATATAAACTGGGTGGAGGTGGCCCGGGGGGGCGGATTTCTGCTCAGGAACTAACTGGGCATCGGTCGGCAAGCAGTGAGCAATTAATTGCATTGTGCATCACTTGTTTTGTATATTCCAATTCTTTTATTATTATTGTAGTTGTATTATTATTACTATTATTTTCTTCCTTTCTATCCTATTAAACTGCTCTTATCTCAACCCACGAGTTTTACCCTTTTTTTTCTGATTCTCTCCCCCATCCCACTGGGTGGGGGGGAAGTAAGCGAGCAGCTGCGTGGTGCTGAGTTGCCGGCTGGGGTTAAACCAGGACAGAACTTCTGTGCCGCAAGACGCACACTGTAACACAAACACTGTGCCCTAGACATGGAATAGTAATTTTATGCACTAAACAAACCAGTGCAAGGGTCTCAATCCCCCATTTTCTTCCTGGACAGACTTTCTTAAATTCACTTCCTAATTTTTCCTTGTCTATTAGCATAGCTGAACTCATCAAGTCTCCTGCTGAATGTGTATTTTTAGTTGGATGGTCTAACCACAAACAAACTAAAGTGACAGAGTATCTAATTCTCTATAGAAAATGTTATTCTATAACCTAGATATGTATGTTCAAATTTAAGATATTATTAGAAATCATCAGAAGCTAGAAACAGCTTCTAAGAAGCTTTTAATTCCAAGAACACTGAGATTTTCCAGCAAGCAAATCACTTAACATTTACAGATTCCAAAACCAAATCAGCTTTACTCTTTGGTATTTTCTTGAAATGATACTTAGTCAATTGAGTGGTCTCAGGAAAAAGAAAGTATTTTTCAAATGATGATCTGGAAAAGTTCTTGCCTTTGCTAGCCTGCAGTTTCTCAAGTCTCTCTGTAAACACGTTTTTCTTCCTCTCAAAGATATATGACTCTATAGTTAAAAAGGAGACTGGATGCAAAACAAGCCGTGAAGTGTCCTCTTCCCTAAAAATTCAAACTTCAGTTTTACATCCACTGAAAACAAAATACATAGTTCATCTAATTACTAAAAAAAAAAAAAAAAAAATTTTTAAAAATGCTTTTTATACAGTACTTACCTTGAAGTCTTGCAAAGCGCTTACAAGAACTGCAGCAAGAAATACATATAAGACTTCATTCTTATAACAGAAAACCCATACCGACATACCCATTATAGCTTTTGTTGTTGATCCTGATGGTAGCGAGACAGAGATGGTTGGTATTCCAAATCACTATTTCTAGCAGACCGTTTAAAAATAACCTAAACCCTGTCATACCCTTAATGCCTTGCAAATACTGGATGGAGACAGGAGTCATATGTCAGTGCTATGATTTTGCCTGTGCTCCTGCAGCTTAGGGTTGCAGAGAGAAACTGAGAAATGGCCTTTCTGCAATTATGCAGGTTTAGTGTTTCCTTTGTGAAATCAGCAGCAAAGTTCAGCCTAAAAAAAATTAACTCATATTCTTCTGAGTGGCTTCCACCTTGGAATTAGTAAGATATTACAGAGCTAATTATGTCAACTTCCAATACAAATCTATGAAGCACAAGCTTCTGTAAGAAAAAAAGGCAGTTCAACGTGTTGTAAGTGGAGCTACCCATGAATTCCAGAAATATTCAACTATAAGCTTCTGACACAGCTGTCAGCTTATTGTGAGCGATAAGCACGTGGGAGAACATACCTGCCATTCTTTACACTCTGCATCCCTTTCAGGTCTTCAGTGTAACCCCTCTACGATCTCTGATTTCACAGATTTCCTCTCTTTTATTTGAAAATTCACTACTTTCACCTAAATGACAGCGTTATTCAAAATACAGAATTTCTTTATGAAAGCATCATGAACATGGTAAATATAAACCATTCAAAAAATGTCTTTGACATATAATAAAACTCTATTTCTGTTTATGGCAAATTATTTTATTTCGTAGAAGAAATACTTTCAAATAATACAAAAATGAGACAACCATACACAACTGTGACAAAAACAAGAGAGATGAATACTGAATATAACAACTCATTACCACATCAAGACAGAACTCATTACAGCAGTCAGAATCACAGACCCACAAGATATGCTGACGATGTCTCACAGCGGTCACTATTTAAAAACACGAACCAAACCCCCTGACGGAGAGGCCACCAGACATCGCCCCTTCGTTATACAGTCACGGAACAATTGAGGGTGGAAGGGAGGTCCCTACCCCAAACCCTGCTCAACGCGGGCCTAATGCGACCAGGATGCTCCGGGCTACATCCAGTCAAGTCCTCAACTCCTCCACGGACAGAAAGCTCCATCCACCTCTCTGGGCAACCTCTTCCAGTATCTGAGCACCCTCATGGGAACACGGTGTTGTCTGTTCTTAGTATACAGTATACGTCTGGCGCCGTTGCATGGTAACTTCCGATAAACACTACTATGTAAGGGCCCCCACCAAAAATGAGACGCAAAATTCTGACTAACTAGTCTTTTCAAGTAACGAGCACTGAAAAGCTTGCTGTCCCTAGACTTTTACCCAAACACTAAAAATTTCTTACGTGATTTGCTTTTTATCTGCATAGTTGCTGAATATGTCTAGTTGCACTCAAGGAACCCAACGTACACCCACTGAAGCTTAATGGCAAAAACAGACTTCAGGATGGTTAGCATGATAAATGCTAAACACACTTTAATTTCACATATATTGCTATATGATCGAATCACTTGATGCCTGCAATGATTATAGGCCTTACTAGGAAACAGGGAATACCACCTTAAAATTAAATGTCTGCGTTAATCATCCTCATTGATTAATGATTTAGGTTTACGATCTTTTTTCCCATTACTTTTTGCTTCAGCTTGGAGAATTAAAAGCAATTCAGTTTCACTTTCAGGTTTTCCTGATCTTTGACAAGATAAGAGTATAAGCTCTTGAAACTCACAAAAAACACTTTACTTACAAAATATTTGAAAATATTCTCATTGGTTGCAATAAGTCCATTTAGTTTTTGGCTGCTGTTTTGATTTCCTGACATAAAAACCTGGAAACAATTTGACCTTTACTTTAATTAAGAGACAGCATGATCTTCCTTCTAGGAGATTCCAGCAATCTGCAAAGTCAGTCTTGTGTTGGGCACCTCTCTTTGTAGGTAATGTATAATTAGAAAAATATGAGAAACTCTATTATAGTAGCTTAGTAAAGAAGTATTTTTACATACTTGCAGGATGCAAGGACACAAAACTGGCATTCTCGGGAATTTAGGGTGACAGTCTTTCATTAAAACAAATGGTCACAAGCAAAATTATTTCTTACTGGATTTTAGCTGGTCCAACTAGCAATCAAGTGAGCTGTACCTTCTAGAATTATACACCTTCCTCCTGGGAAGTGTCACTATTCAAAAGAACTTGCATGCAGTAACCTCAAAGCACATCCTTTAGGGTGAACATGTGTTTAAGCACCCTCACTTAATGCAGCTGCTTTCTGGAATCAGCACATAATGTACTTTCCTGAATCAGACCAGAATCTTTAAAACTGTAGAAATTCCTATAATATTCCTTTAGCAGTCTTTACACACAGCTAGCTCACATTGCTATTTTAACTGCCTTCTCATTAAACAGCAAAACAAAGACCTGTCACCCTTTTCCTTCCTCCGTTTAAACTGAGAATCTAGTTAAGAATATAAAGATACTTTAGACACAACTGAAATGAAAACAATCTATTAGTGCACAGTAAGAACATGCAAATGAATTCTGCAATGTTTAACATCACTTCTAATCAATGTTAAACACATTGCAGGTGATAATATTTTGCTATAACACAGACAGTGCTAAAGGATACAATGTACATAATAAGCTACAGATAATAAAGCTGAAAAAAGTGACAATTTTAGAACATAGTATTTTCATTTCAGGTATCAGAAACAAAACCAGCTCAATGGTTCCATTCTACTGTATGACAAATACTGAAGAACAAAATTTCAGTCTTAAAATACATCTTAAAGTAGGTATTTTCCTTCAAGGAAAAAAGGCACTATAAATAAATTACACTACAGTGAATTTGCCTGAACTCACTTTGTTTCTGTCTTCCAGCCTTTAAGTCAAATAAAACAGCATAAAAACTGTACACGCTCTTAACAGGATAGTCGATCTTTTATAAAATAAGTTGTCTTCAGAGATGTCAGTTTCACAACAAGGAAAAACCAAGCCTTGTTGCAGTCGCTATTATAAAATATATATGTATATATATTTATATATATGTTTTTGTTTACTTTTACTTTTTTTACTTTTTTTATTTTTTACAAAATGTGTATATTAGCTTTTGCACAATTTTTTTTTTTTAAAGAAACTTGGCTAGTCTAATAACTTCATTAAAATAAAAGCGATAAATACTTCATGTTTACAATGCAACATGTCATACATCATCAGCTGGCAGAGGAGGTATGTTAATCCTTGGTCTTGTAAAAAAAGCTATCTTCTCTCTGTGATCAAAACAAGATAAAAAGGAAGTCAATCAATTATATACCTATGTTTCCCCCCCCCAGAACATGGTTTCTTTACTCTGGTTAGTGGTTAGTATTTGTTACTTACATACTGAACTGATGGTTTATTTGAGTACAAGAAGCTTACAAAACTCTTAAACCTCAGTGTAGACTTTTGGCAACATTGTGTTGAACACAATTACTATTTTTGAAAATTTAGGTGGAAGCTTTATACAACTCATTGTACATCAGTCATAGTGGACTGTAAAATGGTTTCACAGGACAAGCCCTGACATAAGCCCCTTCTGCAATGCAAAGTTCACCCTTGTACATTTTGCAATAATGCCTACAAAAAAAAAAAAAGAAATGGCAGAGTCATCTTTTTGCTTCTTTATTGGGCAAACAGTACATGCTGTAAAGCATCATAAAAAATGGATGTGTGCATAAAAAGGGCAAGAACTTAAAGATGACAGCTTTTGCTCCATTTTCTACATCTCATTTTATTCAATTCCCTGTATCTTTTTATATCTCAGTAGACAAAGCATAAAAACCCCTCTCTTATTACCAGAAACTTAAGATGTAAAAACAACCCTAAGATTTCTATTCCTCTTACTTCCTCCCCACCTTTGTGAGAAAGACCTTGCCAATGTAATTCAAGCAAAAAAATTACATTAAAGGACAGACAGCTTTTCTACCTCACTTAAGTACTGCCTGCAAAAAAGTTCCAGGAATCTAAACACTGGATGAAATAGTATAATGTAACATTGTAGCTGAGCTGTCCTCCACATCTGTGCTGCACTAACATTTTCTTACTCTCACTGCTACTCTCCCAATAAAAATTACAAAAATTTTAATGCTGAAGTAATAAAATTCTTCCTGTGAAATGCACATTATTTATCAATGCCACCTGTACACAAAATAAACTGTCAGAATAAAGCTAAGAGAGGACACGTACCATGTGAACAAAGATGAAATAGGAAAAAAAGTCCAAAGAAAAGGCTTGAGAGAAAGCTGGAATATTACTGAGTAATTTTTAGGGAGAGATTGTTACTAGTAATGTATATGTATTACATTAGACAAACTATTTATGCCCACAGGCTTGCATTGAAAAACTGACAAATCATTTGAACTTAATAGTGACTAGGCTAAGTTGAAAGAATCACCTAAGCTATGTTTGTACTTGAAGACTTTGGGGTTGTTTTTTTTAAAATTAAATTTCGTGTGTTGTAGAATTGTAACACTGCGATTTTACTTTTGCTTTGACTCTTTGCACTACAAATAACTCAAAGGAAACTCATGTGTCCAAGTCAATATACAGTTAAAAATTACTGGCTATATAGAAGACACACAGAATTTAGGTTAAATGCTTCAGAGAGCTTTAACCTCTCTAATGAGCTGTTGCTATGCTGTTTTGGTACACATTACCACTTACCTAAAAGTTTGCACCTGAATAGGCTCCTTCTGATTTTGCCCACGCAACTGGTATATTTCTTTTGATGCTTTCTTTAGCATCTTTTCAGCTGCTTGCTCTTGGTGATGTTCAAATTTGGTCTGTCTGGTCTGAAAACAAGAATATAATGCTTAAAATGGTCATGTGAATAAATAAAACACAAGAATACCCAGGTTAAAATAATGGATTTTTTCCCACTCACCACAGTAAAACCACACAAGTATACTGTCTGAATTGGCTGATCATCCAAGAACTATAAATTCAAAAAGACTGACAGTGTTGTTTCATTTCTTAATGCTCTTCAGACAGATATGTATTAAATTGATGAAATTGACTGCACATAGATCTGTCAAACAAGACTTTAAAATACATTTAGGCTCACATTTCATCTCTGATAATCCAATGACAATTTTGTTTGTTGTGTATTTTTTGCCACTGTTTGCCTATAACTGCTTTATCCAAGAACAGGAAAAAAATCACATACTTAGGGAATATTCCAAATATTTGTAAAAAATGAAATATGAAATCAGCAAAAATTCTTTCAGAGATCAGAAATAAAGACATTATTAAAGTTCCAGTAATAAATATCTAAACCAAAAAAACCCAACCCAACCCAAAAAGTGCCACTGGCAACTAGTGCCATTCTCCAGCAATTGTTCTCAAATAAATACACAACTTGGCAATAATCAGTGCAATAATTTTTATTGTGCTAACTTCAAGAATATAGAAGCAACGTTCATTGTCTGAAGTTCTGTAAAAACAGCTCTTTAGACACCTTGTCACAACGAAGAAATTTTGAAACGAGAAGTTTCTGAACATGTTGAGTGCTCATCTCATGTTACCATACCTGCCTTTCTGCTTCCTTCAACAAGTTTCGGAATCGTTCATCCCGGAGGACCCAGTGGGGTAGATCCGTCTGCCCTCTTAGCTGGGCATCTTCCAGACGCTGTCTCAACTCTCTTAAAACACATATCTCCTCGTTCAGCTGTCTCTGTCTAGTTCTGGATGCCTGGAGATCCAGCTCCAGGTCTAAGGATGTCCTTGCCATAAGCTCAGCCAAAGATGATCTGCAGGACTGCTGAGTTATTAGGATTCAAATAAAATGCACAATATATTAACTCAAACATGGTATACTGGTCTATCTTTAGCTACATAGAGCATACATTTTCTGTACTTCACACACAAAGTCTTTCTTGACACAAAGTTTTGGAGAGATTATTTATATCCCACAGTGAAAGGCTAACTAGCTGTAGGGGTTTTCTGTACCATACATAAACTTTCCAATTAATGCTTTCTACTACCTCCTTTTACAGACTCCTTTTGGCTTATAAATATTTAACTAATTTAAGTTTATGGACTAAACTTTCATGTTATGATGGTAATAAAAGGGATGCAATATGAAAAACTCCTAACAGAGTCATGACGTTGGAGAATAAGGGGAATCTTGCTCAGTACAGTAAAGGGCTTTATTCAATACTGGCTTTAAGATACATTGTGAATCAAAATGGGAGACATGGCTGTCTACTTGCCTACACCAGCAAGAAATCAACTTCTGCTGACCAGGCTAAACTGTATGCAATGTATACAAAAGGCATTAATGCCTTACCTGCCCTTCTCTGCCCGCTTGTTCTGCAGCGTGCAGGCTGGCATGGAGGAGAAAGGAGAGCTTAACCTATTCATTCCTGAATACTTGGGCCTCAAATACTATGGTTTGCTAGGCTGCATGGGAGGGGAGCTGGATGTTTTACTGTCACATTCACACACACTTCTCTGGGCCTGCATCATAAACTAGATTTTAAAGATTTAACAAAGTTTACATTTAAATCAACACGAATTCAGTCCCTGTTGAACTAATTTTTGTCTGCCACACTATTTTTTTTCCTCCTCAATAATTGTTCATAACTATATTTCACTTCTCTATGTCTACCTTTTAGCTTAAAAAACCCAAACCAAACCCAAAACACCCACCCTTCCCCCAATTCATTACAGAAGCCTTATACATTTCCTCAAAACATCAGAATGTACATGTAGACATCTAAAGCTTAGGTGTAAAAGTACCAGTGTTCTAGCAACCTAGTGAAAAGTAAAAACCAGTTTCCTAGGTATACCTGCTTATATCGTAGGGTACGCCTCTCCAATGTATTCCGGACAAAAGGTGACTTCCTTGGCAGAGTTGAACTGTCACTGTCACTGCGATACAGCTGATAAGAAAAGATTCAAAATACAGGTTGCTTACAAGGTTGTCTACGTTAAGAAATCTGCATTATTTTTTAATTCTTTTGCTTCTGAGATTTATTTTTAAAAATGCACTGAATCTGTCTTAAGCAACTGATTTTTTTCAGCTTTTGTTATTTATAAAAATTTTATATATAATGGTGCTCATACTGTATAGTCACAATAATTCAAGAAAACTTCAAAACCATCAATGTTTTACAGCTAAGTTTCATCAGGCATTCTGCTAAATATTCAAGACAACGTAACATAAAAATAAGGGGAGAGGGGAGTTAGAGGCAATACTATTTCTTCCTAAAGAGTTTACTGTCATGGGCACAAACAATACAGTCTCCCACTTTTTTCACCAAGTCTGATTTTAAGTAAATACAGATTAAGTGAGGGTGTTTAACAATCTTCTCCTTTTTGCACTATCTTTGTTCTGGTGTGCAAGGGTGTTTTACTCACATGCCCTGTATCATAAACAGATACAGAATCCAGAAATCAAACTGAAGAATTTGAAGGGGTCCATAGATGTACTGTGTGCAATGTCAATAAGAGAGCAAAACCCAGAAGATCCTCAGTTTAGCAAAATGCATAAAAATTAAAAATCATTAATGCATTTTCAAACTCAAGCTCTCAAAAGCTAATGAAAGAGTACAATTAAAGCTGCATGCATTCCACCAATATTGCAAAGTCAATACCCATGTATTGTTCTGCAATACCATGAGCCAACTGCTTATAAGCCTTTTGCCACTGAACACAGCAACCAGCTAACGTGAGCTCGAAAACTGTTGTGCCGATCTTCAACTGCTTGCACCAGCGCATCCAGGAATCCTAGGTCCCACTGCAACAGGCATCCTATGACTGACATTCATGACAGCAACCACAGCTGTAAGAATATTTATGCAATAACCCTAAGATTATATATTCAGTCTCCTTTCCCAAACTTTTAGGTAGCTGAAAGTTAAACTAAGCTAACTGTTTATACACCTTAATAGACAGCATTGTACCTCTGTAAAATCAATCACCCTAGCCTAACATCTAAGGTTGCCAGGGAAAAGAGCTTAATATCTAATTTGTCATAGATTCTTAAATTTTAAATGAAATAAATTCAGGTTTAAACTCTTAAAAAAGAACCAGGGGACCTCTTCCCCACTGCAATGTTTAAATTCTGTGAAAGATTATTCTTTAGTATTAAAAAGTAGTATATGTTTCTTATAAATGTAATAAAGTCTTAAGAAGAGATTATAAAAAAACGTAGAAAATACTTGTGTGCCTCCCCCGCTCCCCCCGCCTTCTTTTTAAGCCTTACTCACTCTGCAAACATATTGACTTCGTGCTCCAGGTGAGAAGGTCTGGGAACGAACAATAGTGCTACTGCGAACAAAAGCAGAACCCCGTGGCCTGCGGCTAGTTCTCTCTTTTGGAAGAATAGCAACTTCTTCAGGAAACAGATCCTCGGTGTTAGTTTCCTTATCCACCTAAAATTTCAATGAAGTAAAAATTTTTATTTTTTCCTCATTTTCTCTCTCTCACCAAAAACAATAAGACAGTTCAACAATATCAAAAGCAAACAATCTGCCCTGAGAGCTAGGTTCAAGTTTTAAGGAGAAATGAGAACAAAGGATGAATCACCTCATTTTTAACAAAGTTTTAAAACTAGGTCATTCAAAATGGTAAGATTACCTTTCAGAAGCCTTTCCTGGAAAAGTAACAATTATGAGATGCAGTTATAATGTGAATCATAGCTGCAGAGCACAAAGACTGCATTCAGCACTGGCAATTGGGCATTAACCTAGCTACCACCTGATCTCCAGCCTCAACAGAAGAAAACAGTCACCTTCCAATAAGCAAGATGAATCTGAAGCAAGCAACCACCTTAAAACTGGAGGAAGTCAAATGAAGACAAGAAACTCAACAAAAGGGAACTGAAAGACTCTTGAAACAATGATACAAGAACACTAAAATATTCAGAAATACAGAAAACGTACGCTACTCTAGCAAAGCTTCCAAACTTTAAGTTAACTCACTCCTCAATAGGAGTTATGATCTTCCCTAAAGGCAACACAAACAGCTTATGTTCCTCTACTTCAATGAAAATGTGCTGATTTCAGCTTGTTCAGGACTATTTTCATTATCTCATATCTTGAATACAAAAGATTTTAAACACATCAGTTTCAGCACAAACGTTCTGAAAATTTCAGCTGTATTTACTGTAACACTGAAACCGCAATGCAAGTCTTAAAACATTAAGCTTCTTTCTTCACAGTTCCTTCAAAAATTCTTAGTTCTAAGAGCACTGGAATTCGATCATGAACTTTTCGGTTACAATTTCAGGTCAACACAGACATTGATACGAGTGCGTATTTACAGAGTAGATAAAGGCCACAGTAAAAATAGCTTGCCTTTTGATATAAAATACTAATTCCGTCTAGAAATAACTAGTAAGCAAACAAAACCCCCCAGTCCTAAAGAGGGCATTTTTAACAACTCAAAAGGTACACCGCTGTCATGAAGGCAGTGCTCATACAGGGTTGTTAATGTCATTTCTGATTCTTTTCTCTCCTGATCAATTCGGACTCAAACTCAAGGAGCAGCAGTAACACACTCTGTGTGTGTCAGGCAGTGTGGCAGTTCCATACTGCAGTGTCTTCTCTCATTACCTTCAGTGGCGGAGGCTGCGTTTTTCCAGAACTGTACTGGCCTGCTTGAGTTGCAAACATGTGTCCAGCTAACGAATCCCCGCAAAATGGCTCTGGATAAGGAGGACTAGTCTGGGTGCAATTACTGCATCCACTGTCAACAGATTCCGCTTGCCAACTCCTAAAGTCAGAACATCAGAAGAATTTTGTAGGTATTAAAAAACCCCATGCAATTATGTGTCACATTTATATATTTCATTATCCAGGTCATTTATCATTTTAAAGTATTATTTCTCCAAGAAAAATACAGAATTTGCAAAGGGAGAACATAGGCTGCTTACATTTCTCCAGATGCAGACAAGCAAATACATTTCATGCCAAAAAAAAAAAAAATCACCTTCCCTAATTTTCTTAAAGCATATGTTCTGGTCTTTATAACAATACTAAGAAAACAATAACAAAAAGAACAATGCAACTCATGTAACAAACTAGGAGTATTATTAATGATGAAATAGTAAGAGCTGTGTTGCATGTTCCCTCCATAAGCATTGCAATGCACACCTTTCTTTGACATTTTTCCATGTCACTGCAAAATTGTATGTATTTTTTTAGTACAGTGCTGTTGCAAACCCGTTACAGTTGCATCCCTAGAAAAGTTACTGTTTGATATAATGTTTTCCCACTCCCCAAATTTGAAGTCCTCAACTCAGCCAGCTATTCAAATAAGGTTTTCTCTTGTTTGCACATCATCACAAAATAACAGAATTTTATACTCATAACACTAACAGGGAGCAGATCTCAGAATAAGGAGATCTGCTGTTTCTCCTGCTGTCTGTATTTCAGATTATACCTATAGTGTACATATCAATCTGTTGTTCGATGACATATTTAAACTACTGTTTTTACCTTTCTGATATGGCTTCTGCCTGATCTTCCTTTCTTTCCATCTCCAGGATTTCCTCCTCTGTGTACTCCAGTTTCACTCTCTCTTCTGCCAACTCTCTCTCAACTGCTTCCAGCTGGGCAGTGGTCCTAGCTAACAGGACTGTCACTGCATCCTGGAAGGTAAACTAGACTTCAGATAAAACCGTTTGAACAAGACAATGTATTTAGTGTATATTATTCAGAGAAAACAAAATAAAAACATAGCCATTCTATGTTCCCTTAAAAAAAAAAAAAAAAGCAAGCCCATCCTGAATCTTAATGATCAAAAAGTACGTGGTGTTCCGTGAATGCAACTTCTCACAGAAATTGGGCAGACTTTATCTCACTGTGGAACATCATCCAGCAAGTTAGGTCAGAAGAGACCTCTGGAGGTCACCTAGTCTGATGTCCTGCCCAAAGCAGGGACAGCTTCATAGCCACATCAGGTTGCCCAGGGCCCAGCCAAAGGCTGAAAAATCTCCAAAAATGAAAATTGCGCAACCTTCCTTGACAACCTCTTGAAGTGCAGTGGCAGAGATTTTTGATGAGTTTTAGCTAGTTGGACTGGAAGTGTGCATACAAACATACACAGAGTACCATTTCAAGCACCTGTCCAGACATGATTTAGCTTTTAATTATTCTATTAAAATCCAGCTCTTGCCACAAGAGCTAAATTATGGTATCACCTTCTGTGCACCTCAAAAAAAAAAATGCACCGAGATAAGATCACAAACAACCACCCAGCAGGTCAAATAAAGGAAACAAATCACTTTTTCAAAGCCATACTGTTTTAACTGTAGTTACATTTCCAGAAGATCGGGCAATACTTTCTTCACACTGGTTTTTGTTCTTTGCTCTCTGGGGGTCTGAACCAGTGAAGATCTGAACAGTATACCAGTGAAGCTGCATCTCCCCCGAACTCTCTGCATCAGTCAGGTTTATCTGAGCAATGCCCTGTAAACAACAAAAAGCATTGACCACAACAAGATAAACATACACTGCAGGATAGGCACCTTCTCATTTAAAGAGTATTTTACTTATAGGGTCTCTTAAAAAGACAGTTTTGTTCTGTTGTGTTATGATGTCTATGATACCGAATTTCTTGCCTCTTGCTTACTACCAGGAAGGATCAGAGTAGATATTCATTTTTTTAAGTTGAAAAATAAAATTTCTAAGACTGATGTAGATATGATTGTTACAGCTGACAGCTCTTAGTATCTTATTTAAAAACCACTCTGAATTACATATCTGATTTCTACATTTGCTTAAATTAATATTACTTTAACAATATTAGTTTATAGTTCTCTCACAAGAAAACAGATTATTCTGAGATATCCTTCTGTTCTCTGGTACTCAGAGGCATCTTTGAAAGGGAAAAAAAAAATGTCATGTAAAGCAATTTATTTTTTCTGCCTATTTTTATCATAAGGTAGTCAAATGGGCCATAAAGCCATTTTTCCACTTTCCAAGTCATCGTTATCTCTCCCACATTCAGGTGAAAACAGGTTTAATGGAGGCTTCCCACTAAAAATATTCCCAACTTTAAAGTAGCTCTACTCCTTCAGACAGTGCTCATGTAAAAAATTTCTGAGTGGTGTTGACCTAAATGAAAAACAGCTCTGAGCAAATCCATGCTTTTTTTTTTTTTTTAAAATCAGTTCACTAGCTGGACCTAGTGATGATTTTATATTAGCTAGCCTTTAATTACTGCTTTTGACTTTATCTGGCTATCTCTGCAATCTGTTCATTTCCATGCTAATGGACCACATGCTAAGAATGTTTTCATTTATATCACTGGAAAAATCACATAAAAATTGTTTTCATCTCTCACAAAACAACTCGCTGTATGTAATGATTCTTATTGTAAAGGCAGCAGGAAATGTATACAGAAACTGCATTCAACTTTAAGCAGGTAAAGAAACAGTTAATTAGAAAATAATAATAATTAAAAAATCATTGTATTGTTTTTCCAAGGTGAATGTTCCCTGGGGCTCTGTTTAAACAGGTGTATAAAGGATGATGGAGGAAAGTTTTTGCGACTAACAAAATAATGTCATATCGGGATACAACATGTTACTGAGAACATCGTTTTATGTCAGTAAAAGGAGGCTACAAACAGAGATGTCTCATCTTTTATATATAAAACAGAGATGTCTTCTAATTACCTATTTGCTCTGATGCAGTGTAAAAAAGAAACATGTATTGAATACTCACACTTTTGCATCAGAGCTGGAGAATGTTTAAGACATGCTGGGTTTGGTTTTAGAGGTAGAGGGTAAAGGTGTTTTCCTGTCATCAATATTGGAAAAAACATGTGTTGACTCTTAAGATGTCTGACACTGCCCTACATGCTGCATTTATTAAGCAGCTAAGAAAGCATGCCGAAGCAGCTCTTACTACAAAGCGAATGACTAATCGGGTATAAAATCACCATCAAACCCAATTAATGATTACCAGTACTGAAAGGACTAATTAATATTGCACCTCCACCTCAAGATTTGGAGCTCGCTCAAAAGGATGAAGAAACCAAGGTGGGTCAGCTAGCGGTCTGTCACGTGCCTGCTCTGACACATTTGTTAACAACTTGGATGGTGGAATAGTGAAAGCATTTATGAATCTCTCGGTGATGTCAAACAGAGGGATTGTAAAATTTATGAGAAAAGGATGAGAATCTAAAATTATGTTAAAAAATGGGACGGATGTTCTGAAAAACACGAAATGCAAAAAGACAAATGTTACACTCAAGAAGAATTCAAATAAATTAAGACATGGTGAATAATTCGTTGATCAGGGCTGTAAAAGATCAGAAACTGGGAGTGAAACAGCAAATGCCATGTAATTGCAAAAAAGGCAATTGCATTTCTCTGATATTTTAACATGAGTTATATATGCTAATCATGGAAAATAACAACTCCCTTATCTCAACATTGATGAGGCCAGCAGGGGAGAAATAAGCCAACTTAAGGAAGCAGAGTTTCAGAAAGCTGTAGGGAAACAGAAAAAGATCTTTCAGCAAGGCAGGGCATAGGAGTAAAAGGTTGAGAAGCTTCAGGGAATGGAAAGACCATCCCACAAGTTTAGTAGATTTACTTCTCTATGTAAGTGAAGTTTAGAACTATTTTTGCCAGAATATTGCCTTTTTTTTTCATTCCCTGTTATGTACAAATATTTGTATAACTTAGGATAAACTCCAGCCTGGCTTCTGCATTTAGGAAAGCATTAAACTGGCATAATCTAATTGAAAAAAAGCAGAACTTCAGAAATACATGCATGATTAAATAGATGGAAAAAACTGTAATCTCAGTGGAAGAGATTTTGAAAGACAGAGGCCTTGTTGATAAAAGCCATCACAGCAATTCCACAGAGAGGCAGCAAATGATTTCTCAATTTGAGAAAATGCTTATTTCCAATTTACAGCAAAAGACAGCAACAATCATAATGTCTAAATACATACTCCAATGCACATACCTTAAGAAACCACGGCATTGTTTCTCTCTTTTTGAGTAGTATTGCTAACTTACCCTAAAGTATGTTACCAACTAGACAAAGATATTTCTGACAAAACTACACTAAGACTATGAAAGAGAAAAAATTCCTACCAACATAACCTGAAGACCTATCATTTTTTTGCTAATTCAGTAATAGCAGTTAAAACAAAAGCGCCTTAAACTTAGATGCACTTGTGTCAATATAAAGACGCTTTACACTGAAATAGCTATTTAGCTTCCCAGAGAAGGCTGTACCAGTATAAAGCATTTTACACCAATATATCCAGCCTGTTCTTGAGATGCTTTCTTTCATTATGTTGTACTGCAAAAATGACAAAACTTCCTACTGCAGACAAGACCTTTGCTCCACTCCACATTAAGACCGCTGTTTATATAAGATGCTACCTAGTTTTAAGGTGGACTAACAAACGTGCATTCTTGTCCAGATTTGCTCAAACACCTCTTAATCATAGTCCAGCATGACAACGAGATGCCTGTACCTCTTAACTACTTTGATAAGCTTAAAAAACATTTCACTAACCCATTCAAACTCCTCACTGAAATGGCAGCCCACTCACTTCCACATAGCCACGACATCAGCCTCAAGGCAGATTTATTTCAGCATATTTACATTTGACAATAGCTAAATGAAGCTAACATTTAACACATCTAAAGTTAACAAAGTTAACACATGTAACCTATTTAAACAGTTGCTACATATATTTGAATGCATCTACATCAGATACCTCTATCAGTTTAAAGTAAAAGGTTGGTGTTACAGAAACCTGCTTGGACCACTATTATCCTGCAACAAAGTTAAGACTGATATAATAGTAGTCATCTTCACCCACTGTTACACAGCAACAATGGGTTTGTATTTATCTTTTTATTAGGAAAGTATTTTAATGATACTGATTCATCACGCACGTGTTACAGTGCCATGCAGAAACAGAAGTCTTGAGCACACTGTAGTCTAAAAGCTGTCAGATGAAGTCTTTGGGGAAAAGTTTAATTTTTTTTTTTTTTTTTTTTTTTACACAATGCTTTCCTTCTCGCACCAAAATTTAGCAATGGCAGATTCTTCAACTTTCCCCAAAGCAGACAATTGTAAGAAATGCACTAAATAAATAAAAACTTAACTCCTTATTTACTAAATTCCATAGCAATGAATGTAAACCTTATATCAATTTTCAACATGCCTCTGTAATATAACAGTAAACTGTACCACAGATAACTTTCATCACTGCTTAAAATGCTCCAATTCTCAAACCCTGCTAATCATTCCCAAGACTTTATGTAACCTAAAATGCACATTTCAACTTTTTAGAAATCCCACCTTTTTTTTTATTAACAGAACTATACTTACGTATGTGAACAAACAGACGCATTAACATGTAACTCTATCAGCATTTCTTATGGAAAAATAAGTCTTCACTTTCTCTTTTTAATCTTAAAAATTATTCCTCAAGTAACTTTAGTTTCCCACATCACATGGCTTTTAAGAAAAATGGCCACTTACCAATAGTTCTTCTTGTTGCTGATGGTCAACTGAACAGATATACAGCTGCAGTGATTTTAATTTCAAAACACTTGAATGCACGGGGATTCGGAAAACTTCATTAAATATTAATGGAGTTTGGAATTCCAAAGCTCTAGAGCAGTAAGTGGTTGGTGTGCCTGACTCAAGTGGTGGTAAATAAACTCTCACATGACTGGGGACAGCAAAACAGACAAATAACACAATTCAGACAAAGAAAGCTATTTTACATTTCTCAAAATCAAGCTAAGCAAAAACATCAGTGTAACTTCTCCATTAAGAATCTGCTCTGGGATCTCCTTGTTACAGGAATTTATTTTGTACTCTTAACAGAGAAGAACTGCAAAGCTAATTTGGAAATGCTATCTTTTTTTAACTAAAACTAATTTTTTTTTTTTTTAACTTGGTGCTTAAGCAGAGGCACCAAGTGGCACTTGAGATGCCCTGAGGTATCCAAACCATCTACATGGGGCTAGCAAATATGACACAGGATCTATGGGACAGATACAGCCTTCCCCTGAGCAGCAGCAGCTGGAGGCCAGGTGCTATGCTATGCTATTTCAAATGGAAACACATGCCTATGTTTAGGCAATTGAATTGCCCCATAAGTGTCACTAATCCATTTCTTCCTTCCACCCAGTAAGCATACCTTTTTTCCCCCCCTTAAGAAACTCAGCACAAAAGGATGGCAAAAGAAACCTGCAATCCTTGCATCCATCTGCCATCTTAATAAACAAATTTAAATATCTGATACCACCTCATTTGAGACTCCAAGCCAAAACAAAATCCACAACCATTTTAATCTGACAGAAGGCAGCAGAGCTACTTAGAGAAGTGTTTCTGTATCCTTCCTGTCCCAACTGCTTGTCCAGCCCTTGTAATATCATATATTTTGCCATACTTTCCCTTGTGCGAGCAAACAGTTTCACGCAACTGTGTAACTCTTATGCCACCACCAGGGAGGGGTTGACACTGACAGGAAAATAAATGGTTAGAGGACAATTGGAAGAGCTCACTATGGTGGAACTGCAGCACTGGAGCGTGGAGCATCAGTTAGGTAAACAGCTTCACATTCCGTAAAAAGGGAGCAATCCAACTCCTCTGCTCACTGCCTGCTGCAGGTAACCTCCCCCTCGCTGCCCCCAGCAACTGATTTCAATGAATGTACAGATGCACGGAGGAGTTCATTAAACTGGCTAAAAGCTTTTTCTGGTTTTGGTAAGATAAACTACTTTTTTGACCATACAAACCACTTGATTTACCCTGCAGCCATTCAATTTCTTGATTCCAGCCCAGGTAGTTAACAGAGAAGAATGTGGAACAGAACTGCCTTTTTGAGAGTCGTTTAGATGCCCGATTGCCTTGATGACAATGTCCAACAAACCCTCTGGAGTAATTTTTTTTCTTTGGTGACTCTACTTTGTTCAAATGATGCTTATTTCTTTTTCTAATCACAAGACAACATGGCTTAGTACCACTCAATACTCAAATTTTTTCCCCTATCGCGTGTTCCTTGCACTCACACTGAAAACAAAGCAAAAGTCCAACACTAACGCACTGACCTATAGAAAGAATTTCCACTAGAGGTTTGCAGGGTTAACAAGATCAAGCATTCTCAACAAAGATCAACTCATTCAGTGAGCTGTATGTCTATGTAACAACTCCCACAGAATGACTTATTTTACAATACAATGTTATCACACTTCCATTTTCCACAGTTTTCAAACAACCTCTCCCAGAGATAAAGATCAACAATTTTCACGTCAAATTTCTTTAAAATATGTTTAAGATACATATCACTAGATAAAACAGTGTTTTATGGCAACATTGTCATTATTTAAAGAACATTTACTAGAATTAACTAAGCAATGTTCTACATAATGTGATATTGAATTTGAAAAAGTAGCACAGGCTGCCAGAGGTTAAAAAATTCAACTGTTTGTACTGATTCTCAGCTAGTATTTGTCTTGGGAAGGTGTTTCACAGATATTCAAGGAGAGCTATAATGGCCACAAAAGTCTGCAGATGTCCTGGTTGGGTTTGTTGTTGCTGTTTCTGTGTTGGTTTGGGGGTTTTATTTGTTTTGTTTTGTTTGTTTGTTTGTTTAAGATAAAGGGCAAGGTATCTCTTTTACTGATTAATATAGATGCTGCGTAGGAATTTGAGAAAATTACACTAAGCTTATTCTGGGATGCATCACAGATAAGCTGTAGAGAAGTTGTACAGGAAATAATATTTCTCAAATACTGCAAATAATGTAGACAGCTTTTTGGCCAGAAGGCATGGGATGATGGAAGCATGACTTCAATGTTTTTGAACAAATTTTCTTGTGCATAATAAACATGGAAGAACATGGGTCATTAGAGACTACGCTTGTTACCTGACCATTATGACAGAGGTTCTATAAAAGGGACAGTTTGTGTCCATAAAATTAACCCTTTCCTCATGTAAACTAAGACGCACCATCTTCTCCATAAATGGCTTAATTTTGCATGAAAGCAAACAAATCTGTGGTATTTACGACTGTGGCACAAAACAAGCAATGATCAGGTTTTGGGTGGAATTTAAGCTTACATTTTGCAGTTTTCTTTAACAACTAGACTACTAAAGTTCTTCAGCTGTAATACATGGACTAACAGACATTCGCTTCCACTGTCATGCCTGGAAAATAAATTTCATGTGTTAGTCACCAAGCATCAATACTTTGCTTAAGAGATAGAGATGAAAGACTAGAAAGATTTAAGGAATGTAAAAGTAAATTTTGCTGTTAAGCAAATCTCTTACACAAATCAATTTGAATCAAAAGCAATTAGAGATAGCACACTGATAACAGAACATTATTAATAATATTAGCTATAGTAACAAAGTTATCAGAACTAAGAGAATTAAACATTATTCTGTTTGAAAAGAATAACATTCCTTACTGTGACTCTTGGTGGTGAATAGGTTTTCTAAAATACATTCCTTGGTTTAAACAGTTACACAATACACGTGTGTGTGTGCGTGCATGTGTAACAACATATCATTTACATTAGACAAATGAGTCTGCATTATTTTCATGGGTTAATGAAAAGAAACAAAAAAAAATTATACGCTTTCACATCAGCATGAATTCTGATATGGAACTACAAACCTGTTGAGATTTGAAAACTCCCAAGCTTGGGAATTAATTTTCCAAGGGGTAGGGATGATTCGGGGGGGCTGTCATACAACACCCTGCCTTGCACTGCTATAGCCTGCCCTTCCTCATGCTACTCCCGCTACCAACAATAGCATGCCCTAAGCACAGGATTTCAAAGCTGTATTTGGGAACCGTATTTGTGTCTCTTCACCTGTGACTTTCCTTGGTAATCCTCCTTTATTTGGCACAAAAAGATCTCGCTCACAGAGACACATCCCTATATCCATACTCACACTAATGGCCCAGACAATGAAAATAAATGCTACTGAAAGAAGTAATGAAGGCCATTCTATCAGCTAGCATTGAAAGGACACTGAACGAACTGTGGTTAAGGCACATCCCCAACACAAAGTGGCATATGACTGACTAATCTGTACGTCCACTGAACTTTGGCTGTCAGTTCAGAAACTTCTTAAAACTATCCACTGCAAGTTCAGTTTATTAAAAAGTTAAAAACCAAGAAAAGTAGTGAGCAGTTCCTGCTGAGTTGACAGGGAGAAAGAGAAGTAACTACTCACAGAAATCCAACATGTATTTGCGGTTCTTCATTACTGGCAGCATCACTATAAACAGACTCTTCCAGATCTTCATTCCTGCAGGAACAGAAAGTACTGTAAACTACATACTGACCTAAGCTGTTACAACATAATGAAATGAACATTTATTTTGTGATTTGTGGATATAAGCAATTGTTTGGTAATACAGGAGGGACTGGTAATATAGAAAGAACTGAGATATCTATTTTAAAACATATAGAAGTAGTAATTCACAATTTTAAAAATTGAGGTTTTAGAATACCTCTTTCAAGATATTTAGGTTGTTTTAATATTTATTCAGTCTTCCGTTTCTCTTTAGTATCCTCAAAACCTTATCTTCTTCCCAGTTATTGTTTATTGTGTTAAATAATTGTATAAAGTAACACGTCTTTATCCACCCTTCGATCACTTGGTCAACCTGTACATTTTTCGATTTTCAGCAGTGCATGTATTTCTCCCTTGCAGTTATACTTCTATCACGTGCTGCTCAGAATTGTAAGTCACACTGTATAATTTTGTTTTATTATAGATGGTTAAAATAAAATTATTGATTTATGACTAATAAGCTGAGGAAACTATCTTTCAAGGGAGAAATATACGGTATTTTAAGAGACAATAAAGCAAAATGAGTTGGCACTTGTGAAGATGACAGTGGAACTGCACGTAAAAAGCTTCTTTCCTTTAAAACATGCAACCTAATATTTTTATGTTACTAAGAATTAGCTATTTTGAAAGCATATTCAGAAATTTATAATGAATTATTTTGGACTGTGTGGAAGAACAGGAATATTTCCAGCTTACTATGCATTTATACACCTGACCTTTTGCTTAAAGCTTCAAACACGCCACTGTCACTAGCCAGTGAATGATCTGAGAGACATGCTGAAACTCGCCTGGCTCTCCTCTCCGATCTTCTACCACTGTCTCCTCGCAGAGTTACAGCTGTCATGGAGAAAAAAGTGAAGACAACATCAGCTCAAGGCAATCTCTTAAAAACTAAACAAGAACATTTACTTTATCAAAACTAGCAGCAAAATGGCACAAACACAGTTCATTGCTTTTTCACCTAAGTTAAAAACCTCGAATACAACTGACCGGAGATTTTCTGTGGTAGAATTAAGGAAGGAAATTTGTGGCTAACTTCTCTCCAACAAGACTAAGTATAAACAAATTGCATTGTTATTAAATGCTTTTCTGGTAGAATAACCCCTCCTGGAGGAAGACCTACATTAATTCAACATAGGTACACATGATATCCTAAACTTTTAAGATTTACCTACTGAATATACAATAGGTTGAAAACAAACACAGAGACTAATTCTTTTAAGAAGTTATCAGAAAACACAATGTGAGGTTTTGTTCTCATTTGTTTCCTAATATGAAGTCTCAAAGCATACTGTTTATACCACCGCATAATAGCAGCTTTTATTTACAGTCTGAGAGGCATTATCAAAAAGAACCAGTGCTTTCCAACTCACTCAGATCACTGTTTTTTCAAATTTTTGGTGAATGACTTTGAAAGCTGACTGGGGGAGGAGGAAGCAATATTCAATCCCCTCTTCCATCCTTCCCCGAGTCACCAGCAACACCATAAATAGCGACTCAGCAATCAGTTTCCTGTTTTAAGTGTATCAACAAAAATGATGTTATACATCAGGTTTTGCACAGGCAAGTGGGTATAGCAGCTACCAATCCTTTAAAGTACATGCACAAGCGGTGATGCTCAAGAATTTCATAGGTAAGGTTTCAACACTTCAATGATAGCTAACTTGAGGTTGCTTTCTTTCAAGTCCTAGAGAGAACCATTAAACAGACTTCTTCACTGCAGTAAAGAACTTCTACCAACTTTCCTCTCTTTTGCTTAAGGCTCAACGCTTGTCCTCTAAGCAGAAAAGCAATGGCAAAGAGATGCCACTTCAAAAGTGGGGAAAGCATCTTATTTGCTTCTACTCATGCTCAGAAACTTAAGACAGCATGGAAGCATTCACAGTTTCAGCAGACAGCATTTGGAATGACAGTAGCATTGTGCACATCGCATGGGAGACAAGCACCAGCTGACATTTACAGCTTACCGCCCCCAACTAAGGACAAAACGTGTCTTACTCCAAGTAACAACTTGTTGAGTACCTCTGTAACGCATTATCTTAAGGCATCAAAAAGAAAATACTGGTACCTAATCAGTAAGTTTCCTTCAACGGAATGCCAGCCCATGGCTTGAGCTCCACCTGCAGAGCCCAGCCGAGGTACAGACTACGGACAGTGAGCCACCCCCCTGCATGGGACCCATCTCGCCTCCCACCCAAGCACCACCAGGACAGGACATCAGGACTTGAAGCTTGATAAAAGTCCCCCAAATTAACACAACCACATCACTGCTGTCAACAGAAGAGTTTGGCTACGGTTAGCTTTAACCCACTGTGGGACTGGCAGACAAGATGCACTGAGCCCAGCAGTCCTGCACCGGCCCAAGGTACATTCCTATTATCAGGCCACAAACAGCACAAAATCTCAAAAGCCGTTCCAAAAATCACAGGGTCCTGTTTGGAGGTAAAATTCCCATATATCAGCAGAGCCAGTTCTCTGTCCTTTTGGATCTGTAAGCAGCCCTGTGAACCTCCCCTCCGAATTCAATGAAGGATTTGGTCATCTTCAGCTATGCAGGAATTTTATCTGCTGACCAGGAACAGCCCAATTTGCATTTGTCTCTGTACCTGGAGAAAGAACCACCCTTCCCCCCGACCTCCAATTACAGCATCCCACCCTTAGTGTACACCACACACCACGCACTGTAACTCATGTCATCCTTCCCACAAATGAGAGCCAAGTTCAAGCTAGCTCACAGAAAGCAAAGAAACTGTATTTGAACCACGCTCTCCTCCATATCACTTGTACAAAGTGGTGGGTTTGTTTCCTTGGTTGTTTGGGTTTTTTCCTTCTTTTTTTTTTTTTAAAGAACTTTTTATTTGGTGAGTCCACCTCAAGTTCTGTCACTGATATTTATGCAGAATCAAAACTAGCACTCTGTAGAGATACCTTTTAATATGAAAGTTTTGCAATAATTTTACATCATTGGAAAGAAGCTGAACTTCACAAAAGTGTATAAATTTTGTATGAAAGTGCTTCTGTAATTTCTGTACTAATTTCAGCAAGTTACACTGGATGGCTTCTTTTTTCAATAAGCCTTTGGCTCACCCCTCTATTTGAACACTTTGTATAGATGTAGCGGATGAAGGACCTCACAGGCTCTCTCCTTTGGAGGTTCATGTTCCCAATTTGTCTGGAAGGAAAAATTGGTCTGAAGCACCAATATAATGTCATGAAAAACTGACATGTTACAACAATGCTGTAACTTGACGATGATTTGCTCGCTGCCTGCAGGCCACAGAAGCATTCAGTAACATCTGGACAACCCCAGTGAATTTGGGAGAGATGCAAACACCAAAACATGCCCTTGACTAGGGAAAAAAAAAAAAGTCAGCAGGAAAAATTGGTCAAGAAGAAAGAAACATCAGATTTTGATTTAAACAGAACAAGGTTTAGGACAGGTTACAGACCTTCCAATGCTGGAAGCTATAGAATTGTTTAAAAATGAAGTTTCTAAGATAGACAATTACCTTTCATTTTCTTATTTAAATAACATCATCAGTGAACTATATATATGAATTTCCAGAACTACTGGGTGCCAAAGCTTGAGAAACATAAGACAGCCCTGATTAAAAGAACGTTCTCAGGTGTCATTAGTTGAAAAAGTGAACTTCAAAGGAAATTTGTGTTTCCAATATTTCATTAACTAAAAAATACATAAATAAGTCTAAAGCATGTTTTACAAACTTAGGGGACTACAAATACCGCACGTCAGCTCAAAATGCACTAATAAAGGAGTCAAACACTCTCATAAAAACTAAATCAGAGACACAAACAGACCTTACCTACCATGATGCTGTCAGGCATTACTATGATATAATAAAGCTGAAGCTCGCAGAACACTTTTTCCAGGAATTTAACTACAGCCATGAATATATTGTTTAGTTGACATCGCAAAAAATTAAGTATGCTATAACGATTAAACAGATACAGCACAATAACAAACAAAACCAAATGTAGCAAAATCTCCTGTTTCTTCACATGCAACTCAAAAAAACCCCCCAAAACCAAAAAACAAAACAACCAACACTTCACACAGAAAAACACACTGGGAATTACAGGCAAAAACAGCACAGTAAGTAATTTCAGGTTCACTTACAGTGAATTTTTCTGTTGTGCCGCATGAGAAACAAGACAAAATGAAAAGCACACAATGATAAATCATCTTTTAGATCTGTGACAGTATTTTACAAACAAGAGATTATTTAGGCATTAAAGGAAACTTAGCACTTGAAATATTATTTTAGGATAGAGAGGAAGAGATAGTGAGGATATTAAAGCCCAGTATTTTATTAATATGTTTCCTCCCACTCCCAGCTTCATAAATACGATGGATTTAACCTCTCAGGCATATTCCCTCCATTCATACATGCTAACATATTTCACAGTATGTCCCGGAGACAGATGCAGAACAATAAAACAGCACATCAGCAACTGAACATCAAAACTGCAGTTCCTGAAGAACTTGAACTTGCTCAGGTGCTGTGTCAGTGCAAAGTATGTGCAGTTTATTCAGTGTTAACCTCCCCGATCCCCAGAATTTGCAAAAATTACCTCATGTTTTGTCTAGTGAAGGAACAGGCAAAAGACCTTTAAGATTTGTCCAAGCTGAGACTTACTGGTTTTCCAGCATCGCGTTATGCTACCAGACCATTGGGTGGCAGCAGCAAAGCACACCGCATAGTACCTTAGTGAAAACCAAAACCCCCCAATGTCTGCGGGTTCCCAAGCTGGGATACATGAGTTTGATGCTCCATCGAATTCTTCAAGAAAAGGGTACAAAACCAAAATAATTTCGAAACTTCCAACTGCTACTTGCAAACTGCATTACTAGCTGGTGGGTTTGCGAGTGTGGAGCTCAACATAGTCATGACTCCAGACAGAAATCAGAAAAGTTAAACCAATTCTCCTTAAGCAATTATTTTCAAATTAAAATATTAAAAAAAAAAAAAAAAAAAGACAGCCTGGCTACCTTTTAACCATACATTCTTCCTCAAAAAGCAACACGAAGCACTCTATTGTACACAGAGAAAAGTTGTAACCCCTGTCCTAGGAGCTGGAGCTGGACACTGCAGCAGTGACAGCAGGTAGCACAGGCATGTTCTGCCAGAGGTTTTCAGAGAAATGTGAATATGTAGAAACGTGACAGAGGAAGGAGAAAAGGAAAACTAAAGCAGGAACTTGACCCTCATCCTATTGCTCCCTAGGCCCTCAGACCAGGCCTTCACTTCTAGGAAACACGTACAAGCTATAAATGAACTACTAACATAGTTTCACTTACCACAATGGGTGAAGACAGGCTGTGGTCTGATCTGAGGTTTAAAGAAAGCCTCAGGAAGCCTCTTCATGGCACTAATTTAAGCACAGGCTTACATGCTGGTCTCTGGAATTCTGTTTATTTTGGTCTGAAAGCTGCAATACGGGCACTAGAAATGTTTACATCTAGTAAATGTAAATTCTGCAGCAGTATCTTCTGGCAATGCTAGCTGTGTTAAGGAAAGTAGGTGAGTCTAGACTCAAATGTTGTTTGAGCAATACAGGCTTTTCAGCACAGTAGTGACATTTTCTTTTTAAAAATAAAAAGCTGAAAGCGTTTCCTTAGGTACTGTCAATGTTCCTCCTCATTATCACTTGACAACTAAGATTTTGGTAGGATAATATGATACATTCTCTGGTTATATTTCACATTATTCGTGATGTCCTAAGTTCTGAATGCAACATTCTATGCAACTGCCAACACAGAATTCTGGATACAGAAATAGGATGGGAATTAGAAGCGTTAATATTAAATTCTATACTAAAAATATTCTCTAAAAGCCCTTCTCTACTTGTATGGTTTTATTAGAAATATGAGCAACCAACAAACAAAAACATGATCATGAAGGAATACTCTTTTTCATTTTAACAGCAGTTCATTTGATTGATTAAAACAGGAGAGGAAATTTCTCATGTGCCTGTACGCTTGGGTTTTTAAATCTCTTTTGGTTTTTAAAAAGGTTTTGTTTCCTCTTTTGATGTCTCTAATTTATGTTTCTCTACTGTAGTGCCTCAGGAGCTTCCACCAATGCAAGCTAAAGAAAGTCCATCAACTTCACAGTCAAGCAGGAGAAGAAAACTCAACAGTACATGTGCCGTGGTAACCGCACACATCACTCCTCTGCGATCACAGAGCACAGGTTCTGAGACAACATCTTAACTTCTTGCACAGCCCCTACAAAAGATGCTCCTTGGCTGATGAAGACTCTCAGCACAGCGCACCATGAACTCCTGACCACCACGCTGCTGTGGCTTCTGCTCCATTGCAGAACTTGGACATGGGAACATGGTCTGGGGTGCGTACGAATTCAGCGTAGAGTCAGCCAACCTTCAAGCACTGTCGGCAGCATCACCTTGTGCCTGGTTTTGTGTTTGGGGTTTTTGGGGGGAGTTGGTTTGGGTTTTTTTTTCCCCTATCTCCCCCAGGTTTGTGTTGCTTTAAATTATCAGAATAATGGCAATATGGCACAATTCGGGGCCTCAGAAGTAACTAAACCATGCTTTTTTTTTTTTTTTTTTACTAATTCCCAATCCAAGACCAAAATATTTATTCCTTGATGTGCTACACTCCAAAAAAAGTCCATATTCCATTCCCTTTCTTCCACCCAATTCACCACTATTTTAAGATCTATTTACAAGGATTTTTCTCTGTTCTTTCACCTCGTTGCCCTAAATCTAAAGTTTCAGGTTCAGAGGTTTTTTTTGGTTGGTTGGTTGGGTTTTTTAACAGCTAACATCTACCATGTAATTTTTAACTGATGGAAGTAAAATAAGTCAAACTGAGGAACAATCTCTACTGTGCTAGTATGCTTAGGTCTGTGTGACATTTTCTATGATAATGTGACAAAATAGTAACGTTCAGAAACTCACCTCCACCAGTTTGGACAGCAGTCAGCTGTGGTCCCATTTCTCGCAGCCCTTCATTGTCCACAGGATAGGAGGACGTCTGAGATGAGCTCGTTCCTTGTGTATCATCATCACCCAACACTGTGGTCTGAGCCCTGAGTATTTCCAGGGCTCCTATGCTTGCCATCTCCTCAAAACCTTCTGACATCTGAGCCAAGGGAGAATCTCGAGATGCAGAGAGAAATGGGGTGTCCAGAGGCGAGCTTGGAGGGGACAATGATGACAAGGAGGACCGTGATGACAGGGACGCCAGGGACTGTGGGGTATCCAGAGACCTCCGCTGTTTATTGAAATTTGAGTGTCCAATGGGATCAGCGTATGGCACATCCTTTGTGAGAGACTCGAAGGGAATTATGTCAAAGCGTAAATGCTGCCCGTAGTCTGTAACGCTGTCTGATTTGTCGTACTGCGGAAGGCCATAGATGTCCGTAAAGCTGACCGAGCTGAGGGAGCCTCTGCTGGAGGCCAAGGATCCTCGACTGGAGGCCAGGGATCCTCTGCTGCTGCCAGAGGACATTGTGAGGGTGCTAGCTGACAGACTACAGCAGGCAGAGGAAGAGAAAGCAAAAAAGGCCCTTTCAAACATAATCAGAAACACCAGCACAGGCCTAAAAACATCAATACAGATTACACAAGCAATTTTGCCTGTATTCAGTACAATGACAAGGAGAGATGATTTGGCATTTTAAGGCCTAGCTCACGTCTTTCGCCCTGATCTCAAGCACAACCATGACTGGAACAGCGCAGGTGACAACCAAATCCAGAACAAGTGCCTGAAGACAAACGGTCCAACAGGACAAGCCTACTCTTTCCTCCAAAGCGTAAGCAGCCGTAATTTGGTAGAAAAGAGGCCAGAGCAGGATCTGGATCAGTAGACTCAATGTAAAGCCAGGAAGGGTAGATTACCGTGATCCATCTTGAATTTACATTAATGATGGGTCATAAACATACCAGAGAAAAGAAGTGCGAGGGGATTTGGTAAAGTCCTAACAAACTGCTGTGTAAGCCTCATCCTCACAAGTTTTTCTGGTATAAAATAAAAAAGACTTTAGGATGAATCCTATTCCAGTTCCTCTTGCCACTTTCAGACAGTTAAGGAGAGAAGAATATAAGTGACGGAGAGAGATGAAGTGAGACACAGCAGGAACTGAGCTTTTCACATTGACATCGTGTTGAGCTGAGGAATCCCCAAGAGCTGCATCTAAAAAGGCAGCTGCCAGTGTGAATATGCAAAACATTTGGGGCTTCTGTGTGGGTCTTAGCACATTCTTGTATTTAAATGGCAAAATTTTGTCATCTCACCAGAGGTCAAAACCCCATCCTTTGCAGAAGGTATCAAAATTTTAAAACCTCACAGAACTTAAAAGAATGTTATCATCAAATTAGTAAAACGGTAACAATATTACAATGTGTTTTAAGTATGTATCTTTGGAAAATAAGATAACATACAAAATTCCCAAATACACTTAATAATCTAGCTCACATAGCCATCACTAACACTATTTATAAAACTCCATCCAAATCATCACATTCCATAGACCAAACTGTATAAATTTAGTAAAAAATTAATTTACTTGGCACACATACATACAAGTATTAAAAGGCAAACTTGATAGACTATTAATATTCTTCTCTGCTGCAGTTAAACTTCAAAACCTGCTGGTTTTACTTAACTCACCTTTTTAACTGGGAGTGTAAATATGAGGTTAAACGTGTAGCTTCTTCTAGTTGCATAAGCAAACAATTTCTCTTTTCCTGTAACAGTATCCTATAATTAAACAGATACATATTACTATTTTTCTTCATTACAGTAGTGCTTAAGAAGTGCTAGGAGCTTTCCAAGTACAGAAAAATATTACTGCGTTGCAGTTTGGAATATAAAAAGAAGTTTCACTGTTTAATGAGAAGTTTTAATTTACACAGCTCATATGCAGCGATGGTAGTTCCAGCAAGAACACAAGAACCAAGACTCCAGCAGAATTCCCAGACAAGAAAAGTAATTGAGGTACAGTGTAAGAGTCATGATGTTGAAAATACATTACAGCAATTAGCAAAGTCAGAAAAAGTCCTAGGTAAAAACATCAGGCTCTACAAGATTTTTTTTTTTTTTTTTCCCCTTGCATCAACCTGACTGTGTCAGTAAAATACAGAGAACTACTAGGACTTTCATCACCTTGGCAGGAAAAAAACATTCCAAATAGCCCTACTATCCAAGCTAACTAGTGTCAAATTTCAAAGGTAAAAAGAAAAATTTTTGGAGGACTTCTGTTAAGCAGTAACCATAAACCTCAACTTTAAGCTCTAATTCTAGGTGTTTCAAGCACATTTATATATCGTTATATTTAAGCAGGTGATACAGCATTTTGAATACTAAGCTATGACAAAAATCTCTCGCTGCGACTTATTTTTTTTCCCATTCTAATAACAAGCAGCTGAATTACTCAGTACCACTGCCACAACACAAAGGAAATGTACCTGTAATGCTGTCGGTCTCATACACCTGTAAGATATCTTAAATTTTGTGTTTTGAGATTATAAAAACTGCAAAGAATAAGTTTTATCTATTGATATCACATTTATTCTTTTCCTGAATCTAGAATTATAAGTATTTCTGGTATATTGTTTTTCTAAGCTCAATCACTGAACTTCAAAATAAAATCAGGGTGTAATCTGTTTTGAGTTGTACATTTTTATGTCCAGGAAAGTTACTGCTCCAGCCCTACATTCATAAGTTGGCTGGAAATTGGGATTCTGACAGACAGTTTGGAGAAAGCAGATTAAACTTATTTGAGTGCTTCAGACCTTCGTCAACTGCAAAGACAGTTGTTTGAATTCAACATGTTAGTGGGCAGGATAAAAAAAATTAAAAAATCCAACAACAAAAAGGGAGTCCTCCTGGATAAAACAAAATGGCAGCATTAGTTTCAATGAATTTTGGATAGTTAAGATGTGAAAAAAATATGTCTTTGTTAGCAGAAAAAAAAAAAAAAAAATCTCAACCTTTTTGGCATCCCAACTTCATCCATTCATATGCTGGCAAGGGGCTGTAGTGCTACACTCCAGCAACCCACCACCCTCCGGGGAGGCTCCCTTCATCGCAATCGCACCGAAGCATAAGCAACGCCAAAGCTTTTCTCCCGCTTCTGTGGTCCCCAGACCAGGTTAACCAAGTGGTATGAGGAAGGCTACAGCTTGGCTGTGCAAACTTCCATGATAAAGACACTGCATGCAGGAACCAAAAGACGATGACAAATGGATCCAAGAAACTTAACTGATTCAAAAGCTTGCAGGGCAGAGAAGAGGTATCCATACCATCTTTAAAAAACAAATTTAGGAACCTACACTCCACAGTCATCAATGCCGTAAGGTAGGTACCTGTGCTAAAGGGCAAGAGATGACTCCAACTAAGGCTGCCAGCTAATCTTTGGGAAAAAAAAAAACCAAAACAAAAACCAACACAAAAACCAAACAGAAACATCCTCCCCCAAACAAACAAAAAAACCCCCACCTCTGTCACACAGATTTTAAGTTAACTCAGTGCCTTTAAAACTCAGTTACAGAAAGAACTGGTAATTATTTAAAGAGGAAACTTCTTTGTATTTCAGGATTAGGAGAAAGTGGAAATAGACAAGCAGAACTAGGAATGTTTTTGGTTATTCCTGAGCCTAAAACAAACAAACAAATGAACCAGGGCTACTAATAGTTAAGCTTTCCTCCAATTTGTTATACAAAAATAGAGTGCCCTTCAATATTATTCTAACTTCTACTCAACTTTTTGCTAGCATTTGAAATATCAAGTATCACATTGGAACGCTGATTTCCACAGCATGAGCTACATGGAAAAACAGCTTGGCCTTCTTGCCAACATAGTATGCACTACCTAACAGGAGAGCCCAAAACCAACAAATAAAACTTACTACACTGCAGTGTAAAGTGAACTCCCTTTTCTGTCAGTTTAAGCTGGAAAGCCAATGTAACAATATTGCAAAAATTGCAAAATAGGTAACACTGAACAGCAGGTTGGCTGTGAATTTTCTAGTTATTGTCCGAATTTACTGTGCGAAGTAAGCCTTTTCAAAGGAGCTGATGTTCTCAAAATTTGTACATGGTTTCCAAATACTTTAAAAGTGTCTTAATTATGTAAATATTAACCTTTACACAGATCACTTTAAAGCTGGTTCATGTAGTCTTCCTCAAGTGTCAAACCTGGGGTTTTACCACTACTTAAGAGAACCAAGTCTGGGAAACAAGTATTTTCTCGCTTTCTCTGGAAACAGCCTATGGTAACAAGAAAAGGTTAAGAGGTTTTGTCCATTTCTATGGCTACAGGAAAAACTGGGCAACTTTGAAATAAACACAGTGTTTTCATTAATATGTTTTGGGGGGTGTTTGTTTTTACATATAACTTGATATTTAATTTAAGTTTTCAAGAATGATTCCGTTTATTGTGTTCCACGAATGTCAGAGTTGGGATGTACTCCCACTACTGAGGCTGCAAATTAAAAGGAAAAAATGTATACAAAAAGCAGTGAAAACTTAATCATTTAACTTTCCTGTTATAAGGTAGAAACCAAATATAGGAAAGGATCTTTGTTCTGATGCTTTTGGAGATGAATATTACTCCACAGCAAAATAACAGAAAAATCTTTCACTATCCAGGTACTGTTGTTCCAGCCTCTATTATCAAACAATATCATTCAGACTTTTTCCAAGCATCTTTTGTCACTCTATTCTGATCTCTTCTTCCTATTCAGATGAATGAAAGGAGTACTAACTAGTTGACATCACTCTAACTCTCCTTCAGAAAACTTCAAGACAGACAGAATTAAATAATGGCAGCCAGGAGCAGTCTCTTCCTTTTTCGAAAGCAAATTACTCTAGTAACATTTTTTTTTGTTTCTTAAACACAGTGAAATTCCCTACTCTTCCTTTTGAAATTACCTATATGGATCTTAAAGTAGACAAGAAAATGGTTTAAGTTCCCAAACCTTTCAGTGGCCCCATGAGCAGACGTTGCTCGAGCCCGTTGAATTTCATCTTCCAAGCGTCTTTTTTCTTCCTCCAAACGTGCAATGTCTTCTGGGGATCGTCTCTGCTGACTGATGAGCTGCAACTCCTGAAGAAGAGCCTCCTTCTCTTTGATGAGCTGAAGACGATCCCTGTCCGCTTCAGCCATTCCAGGCCAAGATTCATTATCTAGCAAGGCCAGCTGCTGTTGTATATTCGAAACTCTTTAAAAGAGGATAAATATATTTCAAAATGCAGGAGACAAAGATGAAGACAATTAAGAAGAAAAATACCAGGAGGTGAAGCCTGTTGACTTCTGTAACTTTTCTTCTAAATTTTGAAACAAGAAAATATAGAGGACTTTAGGATTATATGTTTCTGGTTTGGGGGGGGACGGGGAGGGAAATTTGGGGTTTTTTGCTTTGTTTAGTGTATTTTTAAACACTAAAGAACTGCCAGTGCTTCTAAGTGTGTAGCTGTATAAGAATTACAGTGCATTTATCTATCATGTGGACAATACCCGCCTTGACAGCTCTTTTTGAAATAGATCAATTCATATTTTTATAGCTCTTGAGTTTGCTGCCTGTACAGCTGATGAAGTTGAACATCCTTTCATTACTCATTCTTCCTCTATCAGATCTTAACTTGGGATTTCAAAAGTGCAGTGAGAAGCTAAAAGGGATGAAGGGGAGATGCTTATCTAGTGACAATAGATCCATATATTCATGTCCCACTGAGCACAGGAATGGTTGAAGGGGCTGAAAATATTAGGCAGTCCTGACAGACAACAAAATTTTAAGAATAAGCAAGCTGTCAGTAAAAGAAAAACAAGGTCTGGAAAAAAGATCTACTGGTTACAAAATACAGGTGGCTTTAGACGGATCCATCATCAAATCAAGCAATTAAATTAAATAAGCTAACTTGATTTTTTTTGTAGTAGGCTTTATAGCCTAACGTAGGTTCCTGTATCTCAATATGCTGAACCACTACATGAAACAGCAGTTGTAAGAATAATTGCACAGTTGACATTTTAAGAAAATGTTCTGCTAAAAACAAATTTTGAACTCTCATAAATATTATGAAGAACCCTAAAGCTAGACATTTCACAAATGCTTCTTTTGGCAAAATCTAAAGGTATATAAACATCACGGGGAGAACACTCTTCTACTGCTAGATATTTATGCTTGTCTTACAATGGGCAACTTAGACACTTTAGAATGTTACAGTGAAAATGAAAAGTAAGAGGAAATCTAACTTTCTGATTTTTGAACATTTGAAACTAAGAACTGTACAACAGTTATGCAGTTGTACACCTCATTTTCATCTTCACTTTGAAATGGTAGCATTCAAAGTTCAGTGCACCACAGCAGATTATCACCCTTTAAATAAATAAATAAAAGCACATTTAAAGCCAGCCATAAAAGTGGGATATGCATTCATTCTTTTGGTTAAAGTAATCTTTCTTCCAAAATATCTGGTAAGAAAGAAAAGATAATAACAAAGCAAGGTAAAGGCACATAACAAGCCAACAGAAGATCCACAATGTGATAACGTGTGTTTAAGAATAAAAGAAAAGGCGTAGACAGGACAAAGGTAAGGTTTTCCCCATCTAAAACCAAAACCTCATGGAGTCTTTATTTCATACTGACATCTGGAAAGTATTTGGCTATCTTATTATCAGGGGAAGGGAAATAAAATATCAATATAAGTCATTTTGCAAGGACTGCATTCATATATGAATAGGAGTTTTACTGTGAATTTTGTCAAATACATTTTTCCCCACTTCGATTTCATTTACAGCAAGTAAAGAACTTGGGTATTATGTTACATGTTAGTCCAAAGCAGAATACTTTATCAAGCCCTTCAATACCATTTCCTCCTCCTTGCATTAATAACCAATAGATACTGCCAATAGATACTGAAAGCACCATTGTGAATCAATACATAGTGTCTACATATTTCATGCCTCTGCTGTTGTGCATGAATTCCAGATGCAGCCTCCTGAAGAGCACCTCACCCCATTGACCAAACGTCAGGGCCAAGAAGAACGAGCAGAGTGAGGATCCCTCCTCTCCCCTACCCAGGCTGCTACGCTGTTGAAGATTCAGTAAACACTCCTGAAGGTGTGTACAGCTTGATTTTCAGGTGTTCGGTGCCAAATGAAACAAGTGGGGGCTCAAGGTCCTTTCAACAGAATTACAGAATTCAGGTACAATCGAGTTATCATAGCTTGGCAAGCGACTGTGAATCAGATGAGCCCTGGCAATGTATTTGAGTGACCATGTTCATAAGCGCTTACACAGCTTGTGGATGAAAGAAGACGAGATGTGTCTGGTGAAGTCTCTGGGTTGTTTTATAAGACAGCTGAAAGACTGACCCTCTCCTTCATTTTAACACAATTGTTTTGCTAGCTATTTTTCTAATGCAGAGTAAGCTGGTTAAGAAGCTGACCACAGGAGCAAATAAATGCTAATGCAGGCAATAAGGAAGAGAGAAGTACCAGCAGGCAAGAGGGGAAGGTGGGATCCCCCCTTTCAGTGCTAATTAACCACTGAATCCACTCGGCTGTAGAGTAACAAACCACCCTCAAGACAAGAGGTTTTAATTTAGACTCTTGAGCTTGCTGAGACCACATAACTCCCTTTGTGTACGACATTCCAGTTTGAAGTTTTGTTTTTTCCCCTCAATTTCTGTTATGATGATGCTTTGAAAGCAGGAAGTTGTTGTACAGTAACTTAATTATACTGTCATTAAAGGGAAAAGTACTGCTGTGGACAAGGTTTGTATCACTGAAGAGTTCCAAAATCAGATTAGGTATTTACTTAGATTCCCTTGACACTCTTAGCATTTCAGCTAGCTCTTCTTGTCTCTACGTCTTCCCTTTCAGCAAAGAAAAAGCACTCGCAAAAAGCTACATAATGCAGGAATCTGTTGGGAGGGGAACTTCAGCACCAATAAGTCAGGTTTCTGCAACCTGTATTTCCTTCAAACGAATTTTGTTGCTTGCTTTCCACTAAAGACTCCCTCTGTATGGTAAGTTCTTCCAAAAAGCTACCAGTGATAAACTTTTAAAAATTTATCTCCTTGGCTAGAAAACTTCCCTAAGGCTTTTATGGTCTCACTCACTTAAACCAAAGAAAAATATCAAAGGAGTCATGTTCAGTTCTGCTAAAAACATAATAAAAAAATCCTCTTAAGCATGTTCCATAATTGCAATTTGTCTTCTCCCAACACAAGCTTTTCTTCCCAAACACAATAAATGCATAAAGAAGCAATTTCACTGGGCTTGTCTATGCCAGATTTTATTCCTATACTACACCAGCCATTCTCACTGCTGGTATGTTACAAAAAGGTAGCTGGTTTGCATTTTCAGACTCAGGGCATATATTCACCTACTTTAAACACCCACTTAAATAAAGCAATGACTTGACAAAGATTGCAATTTAAAGGGGAAAAAAAAAAGTAGTTAGGATCCTTTGTGATGCCTCTGTTTTTCAAACACATTTTTTCTTTCCTACTGGGTATTTTTTAAGATACTACTTCTTAAGTGTAGTCACTGTAAAAGAGTACTTTTATCTGGCCTAATGCCAGATACTAAGGTCCCTACTGATATAGCAATTTAACATATTCCTGGGGAAAAAACAGTTAATTTTGAGCCATCAACATTCCAGGCATTTTGCCCATTCCCATCCTTGCATAACAAGTGCTGAGGAGCTTGCATTCCACGCTCGAGTAGGTGGTATCAAATGACTGGTTTCCTAGGTAGGCAGACTGACTTGCTGCTTATTTCAGTATTGAAAAATTTCAAATGTGTATGAATATAACAGCTCCTGTTAAGCAGAAAAGCAGGAGGGGCACAGAGGGGACGACAAAGGTTTAACCTGGTGATCTTAAGTAAACACTGATTCAAAACGGCAAAGTTGCCCTGAAATGGCCATCCATACTAATGTAGCTAGAATTATGCCTAGCCCAAGATAATGTAGACATAGCATGAGGGTGGAGATCAGTACAGCCAGTAGTTTACTACACAAACTACATCACGGGGGCAAAAAAGCATGTATTTTCAGAATTTACAGCATGTCTGCATCGTTATAGATCTACACAGATCTCCCCCTAGACAAAATAGGGCAACCCTTCCATCACTGGAAATATCTGGGGAACCTCAAAGATTCTGTTAGCGTCTAACAACCTTATTTTCAAGACTGCTATCTGAACTCAGCATTAATGGAATTATACTGCTGAGCTCGAGAAGATTTCAGTTTAGAAGAGGTTATTTATTAAAATATAGCACGAGAAGTGCAATTAAAGTAAAAATCACTTTTTGTGAGATGAAAGAGACTGATCTACAATTACAATTAACCCCATGTTTAGACCATTACTCACATTATGAACAAGACAGGTGTCTTAGGGAGGGAAATACTCTGAAGCAATACAAAGGTCCTAACTCATGCTCATAAAAGGGACAAATCATGGGTATCCTACAGCTGGCACATCCTAACCTACAAGCTCTGCTCTTCCTAGCTTAAACAAGTTCTTCGACCTTACTTTGTCTGAATTTTCCAAGGAAAAAACCCAATACTCCCCTACATTTAAATGCCTAGACTTTCGGGTGACATATCAGACCACTCTACAGCAGAGGCCTTTGTTCCCTGTGGAATGGGAAGATCAGTGGGGATAAAATAAAGAAAAAAACCCACAGTTATGATCTGTAGAATGGTGGCAAGGATCACACAAATATGCAGACAATCAACATAAATCAGGCCAGCTCACTCTTTTCCTTAGGCTTATAATTGGACTCAGTTCTCTGCCACTTCAGGTAACAGGGAACTTCTCCCACGTATATCCAGAGAAGGTGGCTGTGGGACTGAAGACGCATAATAAAGGGTGTAAGAACTCAGTAATTTCTGGTATTTACAGACCCTCTTGAGAGTGGATTATAATTTTTATCCTAAGAGGGGAAGGCTAGAGAAAGGGGAAGAAAGACATGGAAGGAACAAGAAGTTGGGGAACTCAGCCAAATGCTCACAAAATTTCTCCACTGTGTCTACTTTGGCTGTTCCTGCACATATATGCCACTGTGGCTTTGGCAAAAAACAGGAGTACGCTCTGTAGAGTATCCAGCCTTCCTGGCAGCCCAATTCAATAACAAGGAGGTCTTAAATTGGCTTAAGACGCTCATGAAACCTTTGGAGTACACTGGCATTTTGCAGATAAAATTAGGTATTCACCTTTAGGAAAACTGCAAAGCCTGCTAAAACCAATGCAGGAGAGCAATTAGTATTCCCCAGTTCACAGGTAAACTGGTGTAATGAAAACTTTAAAGACAGTTCAAGAGCATGGCTCAGCTCCCTTTACAACCCAAAGGAAAAGTTTTATGTTTAAAAACTGACACTGGGAGATTAAGGTTTAGCTGACAGGGCTTACCCAGATATTTGTGTGATATCAGACAAATTACTTCATCCCTATATCAGATTTTCAGATTAGTTTAGCAGAATAAAGCGGACAAATCCACTGAATTTCACTATAAATTAGGCAATTACACCTTGAAACCTGCCTACACAAGATGAATTTTAACAGGAAAATACTTGACTGTTATTGTATCACTACTGGAATGTTGCTGTCAATATCCAACCAACATGTATTTTGTCAGTACAAGCACAAATTGCATTGACACACTTCTGCTTGTGCTAGTGCTTTTAAAAGCCCAACTGAAAATTAATTTTGGTAATGAGACAACAAGATTGCAACAAAGTAACTATTCAGCAACTATACTGAAAAGAAAGTAATAACATTCTTAAAGGGAATGTGGAAATATTAAGCATAGCTGAGGAGGAGGCTTTTTCAAGGCTAAAATAAATCTGTTGACAGCTGCTGTAAGATTTAAACAATTGAATTGAAAAATGACATCTTTGAATTCAAATTTACAGAAGGCACAAACAAGTTACTGCTTTTGCACCCAAATTAGATAAGCTAGTTGAATATGCTTGGATGTAATTAGTTCATTAAAGTCAGCTACCATCAAACTGGATTATAAAAAAAATTAACAAAAATGACAGTTAAAAATTTTGGTGCTTCTTATTGGAGGGATCATTTTTCATCTATTGATTAATACACTTCACAGGATATGACACACTACAGCAGTGACATTTCATGATCACTTGCTAAGATACTTCGGGTAGTCATCATACTGAACCGCACAACTTAAAGAGTTATCAAAGAAAAACAATTTGCTTTTGATTTCTCTTTCTATGAAGCAGTCTATTCAGAAAAGTGCTTGAGGGGTACACTTCCAGTGTGCAAATGCTTTCATGAGAGGTGGTCTCACTGAAATAGCAACTGAAACTAAAACCGGTATTTATCCAGGCAGCTTGAGACTGTCTGTTTAAAAAGACTGTCCTCCCCCCACTCCCGCCTCTCTGGAGGGCCACACTGACAGATCTGAGAGAAGAAATTTCACGGAAATAAGGTACAGTTTATTTAAAAATAATGGGGGGGGAAGAGAAAAGAGCAAAAGAAAAGTGATTGAGCCTCTCTTCAGCATGACTGGCAAGTTAAAAAGTAGAATTTACATGCCTCCTCCCAGAGCCTGGATCAGACACAGAAGAGAGGACCTCTTCCCCAGCGTGCTGAAGATGTCAGAACCCACAGCTCAAATACCCATGGGAAAAATTAAATTGCAAATTATCCAACTTCCTTCCAGTGGGAAAGGGAAGGGGGAAAAAAAAAAAAAGCAGCTATGTGAATGTCTTAATTTATGCAAAGGCCAAACCACTCAATAGTTAGAGAGATTTTTGAAGGAATTAAAATCAAATTACCTTTTATGAGGGAAGAGAGATATTTTGGGATTATAAGCCAACTTTTCTACTATCCCTGGGTCTCTTCTCCTGAATCTCTCAAGATAGTTCATTCAGAAATCCCAACACTGTGTTTCCTTGCTCAGATACCATTTACAGAGAACATATTTTTACTTTTAAGAACTACTTCACTACATACGGCAAATATTCTGCTTGTATCTAGAGCTGTATGATCTTCTGGCTAGTATTCACAAGACTGACTAAAATGCAGCACACTGCCCTTCAGTTTGTGGGGCTTTTTTCCTGCTTTCCTTTAAGGGAAAAGGCATACTTTTCTCCTCCAGTGTATTTTAAAAGTCTCCCTTAAAACTTGGAAATAAGACAGTTTCTCTGTTGTACTTATTTGCTATATGTTTCCACACCCCATTTGACAAGCAAGTAGTCATAATATATTGCTTTACAGTTGTGACATACTGTAGCATTTTAATTTTCTACTTTGTAGATTTTAATCCATCACAGCACATTCCGTCACCCACACTGTGCAGGAACAGTAGATATTTCACCAGCCAAGGGAGAACGAACACAAAGATATTTAGTAGAGACAAAAGCCCTACAGAAATGCCAGCAAGCTAAGGGGAAGGAATGCATGATAAATGAAGAATGCAACCACAGAGATAACTGGTAGGGGCAATGAGCTTTGTGCAGTTCCACTCAAAAGCTGAAAGCTGATTACTTCCGTACAACATACTGGGCAGAATAAGGCTACTATTTTAAAGCAACTAACATGCTTTTGCTAAATAATGGACCTTTGTCAGAGCCGCTATCCCAGGACAGCAAAACTACCCTTATTGCAATTACTATTCTCTAGTTGGAACGTTAGTTACCCGGATTTTCTACACTTAATTAACATCAAACCCCAGCTCACTTCTGATGTTCAGAAATACTGCATTCCACGCATAAACAAATGTTCCGTGTTTCCAGCTGAGAAGTGCTTCTGCTACTCAAAAAAAAAAAAAAAACCCAAACCCACAACCACACCACCAAAAAAACCCCCACCACTCTATCTTTTCTCTGCAGTAACACACAAGAAGATAATTATTTTGAAAAACACATAGAAAAGGTATGTCAGAAAACTAACTAAAAACTTTTATTAAAATCTTCACAGCACCAGTGGCTCTGCTAAACTAAACAGTACAAAATGAAATGCTATCCTCCATCTTTCAGCAACTGTCATGAACCCCTAAATTATCACTGGACTATTAAGTGCTAAGGATTAAGCCTGTGACCAAACGGGACACTTGACGGGTTTTTGTTTTGCCCTTTTTATGCCCAATTATTTAACCTGTATTAGGTAATAGTCACTGGTATTCACATGCAGTATTTTACAATGCAGACTTTCATTCCAGTTACAAATCCTGAATATTTAGCTGTGTATCTCTAACATGCTTGCACCAATTTAATTTTTTTTTAAGCTAGTATTGCGTCCAAATGTGGGTAAATTTTCCAAGAACAACAAAACGGTGAATTGCCCTATAAAGCTTCCAATCCCTGCCAAGACATATGACAGTATTACAGTTTCCCCCAAAGAAAAAGTCACCAAAATATGAAAAAAATGAGGCAAAAGTATTGAACTTTAATTCCTTGTTCTGAGAGATGTAAAAAAATTGGCGAAATAGGCAAAGTTGAAAAGGAAAAAGAAAAATTCTAACCTAAAAAAATTAAAAACCTAAGGTTTTCAAAGTTAACTACACAGAATCTTTTAAGTGTCAGTCAATTTTAATAAGAGAATGTTCTATGAGCACGAATTAAATAAGTGCATAAAATTACTGCGTTCAAGTCATCATGTATCCCTGCACTATTGTCCTGAATATGTGGGAATTAGTTTGAAAACAATGAGGTTAAATGAGGACCCACTAAACTACACGACTAGATAGTATTTTTAAAATAGTACTAAATAAGAATATATTACTTTTACAAAGCCATGAAAAAACACTGCAAGACTGACCTTCACAAAAGAAATACTTATGATAAGGAATTAGACTGAAGGACTTAGTGAAAAATTAATCTATTTCAAGTAATTTTTATTTCTTCTTATTTTTATCAGATTTTTTTTTCCAATCTCAGCATTTATTTTTATGTAACCTTTTGTTCAGCTCTGAACATCTTCATTTATCTCACAGGAAATTCTGCATTCTTTCTTCACACTGAGTTCATTACTTCAGTACACTGAACTTAGAACACAGGTATGCAAAGCTCCGAATGTACTGACAGACCAGGCTGATAAGTGTAAATTTAAAGATTGTTTATACTGAGGTTTGAGAAGAAGGGGGAAAAACGTAAAACAGTTCAATTAAACTACTGCAATTTTGTGTTTATACAAGTGTAGAACAGCGCTGACATTTAGCTTTATCTCTGCAAACAAATACAATAATCTTATGATAAAGTCTTATGTTTACCTAAGTTTTTATTACCTGTAAGCTATTCAATAGTAAGCAAATTACTCTTCCTAAAGACATTTCAGCTAGGAAGCTGGTTCCAGTTCTACTGTGAAAACTTTAATCACAAGAGTAAAAATTAAAACCAACAAATTTATCTTTAATTACCTTTTCTTGGCCTCTTCATACTGCCAGTTCAGTCTTACTTTGTCTACGAGTCTTGTTTTGTCATCAAATCCATACTTTTGCAGAGTTGAAGAGCAAGGAAGGGGGGGGAAGAGAGAGAGAAATGAGATTTTAAAAACACTCTCACAACAAAGAAAGGGATAAATTAGTTTCACTTGCTGGACTCACTAAAAAAACCTCAATGCTTTAAGTAATAACATAATAAAAATCAAATTTATGCTTTAGAAATACAAAACTGGTTATTGCTAAAAATACAGAAGATAAATGAGCCCTTTCAATAAATTATGATCCTGGAAATGGAGTGTTAGGAAACAGAATCACTGATGAATGGTCAAAGCTTTTCAACTTTATCCATGTCTAAAACACAAAGGGTATTTTTAATTGAAATATTTTACTACTTGATACAGCTATGTTATGGATAGTTTAATTAAAAGTAATTCAGATTATATTCCCTGTACTGTGATGTGTTACCCAGCACTTAGATCATTAGTGCATTTTAAACACTATTACAAAAACATCACCTGATCCTTGAACCAGTCATAGAACGCGCATTTATGCTACAACTTCTACTGTATACAGTCCGGTTTCTACAGCAACTTCTCTCCATCTTAGGGCATCAGCAGTTCCCCTCTTCAAAAGTCTACATACAGTCTAATACTTAAAACCCAAGTCCCTATTTAAGTGCATTGCTGCACCTTTGGATTTCTCATCTAACTGCTGCTTTTGCTCTCTTCATCATCACACATGCAAAAAATGCACCTCTTTTTTACTCACATTCCACTACTAATAATTCAGGAAAACAACTGACATAATTATGTAATTTTGTTTTCCTAACAAAAAACCTACACCTGATAAACACAATTTTCAGACTGTACTTGGCTTGTCTTGGATGGCACTCAATGTCTATTGTGAATGGGAAAACGCTGCTATGTTCCTTTTGGCAATTCATTTTGGAATTCAGTAATCACATCCACCACCAGTCTCAAAAATTACATCCCAAAGGCACCATCTACCTAACACACTGAAAGACAGCCTAGTGTTAGCTAAGATTTCTTAGATGCTTTAGAACTAAATCTTCTTAAAAACACAGATTTCCTCTTCTGTAGAGGCCCTCTGGAGACATCCAACTCGGCAACTAGTCAGCAGTGAAAGAAGACAATAGAGGAGAAATGGGATGATAAAAGCCTACAATTAAAAAGTTACATAGTTCAATAAAAATTTCTAACCAAATGTGGAATAACATCCAAACTATAGTACTATAACAAACTACAAACAGGTTTTCGTCTTGCTTTGTTGTCAATCTCATCCACCAAAGCAAATGTTTTATTGCTCAAGAACAGCTAGGCTGCCATAATACTAGCGTAAGCCAAATTTTTATTATTTGGAATACACAATTTCATTCACACAGAACTATTTCCAAGGAACGCTAATATGTTCTTCTCAAGTACCATATTTAAAGGCATATTTGAGCATAAAGGTATGACAGACAAAATCTTAAAAGTTTTGTTAGTTTTTAAGAAAAATACTTTGACACTAACAAATACTCACTCCCCTTGTCTCAGACAGAGGAAAGGAGCAGAGGTCTACCCTACATCTTTGATGTATATGAACAATGATGACAAGCATGATAAACACAAGATTAAAAAAAACCCCAACCAACCAACCAACACAAACAAACAAAAAAAACCCCATCCATCACTACTACCAGAATACTAACATCTCGTGCTGTTGCACAATCAAGTCTCTACTGCAACTTTAAGCTGGCTAAAGCGTTTTCTTTCTTCCTGCATCATTACACATATCAGTAAGTCAGAGCTGGTAACATGAAGAGAAGAGTTCTGCGGACACCTCAGCGAGAGTTACTACTCAAGAGATGAACCTGCAGTCACCAAAGTGATGATGTGAGAAGTGCTCTGCCAGGCTGGCTGAGTCTGGGAGCTGATTTTACCTGTCACTGACCTGCAAGCTCACCGCTATGCCCCTGTGCCACGCTCAAGTAGCAGAACCGCAAAGCCCACCACTCATGAGAGCCGATCACGTTCTCTGGAAACAATAAGCAAATGCAACTCCCTCACCACCAATACTGCTTTGCATTTTTCGCTCTGCCACAGCCAACACCTCTTAAATTAAAACAGGAAATAACAATGTATCACTAAAGCACAAAAGCAGCTTATTTTCTACAGCAAATGTCTCGCATAGGAACACATACCTCTCCAGTGATGTCAGTCTGTGAACAAGCATCACAGTGTTGTTGAGGTAAACAGGAGTCGCTGAGCGAACTAGAATTGTGCTGGAGATCCTGCAGGGAATCTGTAATACAACAGCTATTCCTGAATCCATCTGTTAACTTGGCCAGGCTCTACAGGAGAAGAGATTTAGGGGAAAAAAAAAAAAAAAAAAAAAAAAAAAAAAAAAAAAAAAAAAAAATCAGAAAAACTGATTTTTATAATTCTTTTATTAAGAGAAAACAAAGAAAAAAATTTTATTTTAGAAATATGACAGGTAGCTTGCCTATAAAGAGCTATTTACAGAAAGTAAAATTCATCGTAGCGTTACCAACATGCAGAAGCTTTGCTTTGAAGTAAACCTCTCCTTTTAAAAGATGCATCTAACAGTAAACAGATTTTAAATTATTTCTTTTAAATCTATGAATGTTTCAGCTTTTGTATGGCTTACAGTTCTTTAAATCTAGCAGCCGTCAACTTTCAGGTTAGCTGATAGGGAAGACAAATGTGATTCACCTGCCCTTTTGCCATCTTCTGCACAGGTTACATTCCTTAGCCACTACTGCTATCACATCCAGCTTGATGAATACCTTGTATTGATTGTAGTTTTATGACAGCTGATTTCACCCTTGTGCTCTCTTACCCAAGGTTCACATAGTTAAGAGATATTTTACACTTTGGGTTATGCAAGGGACATCTCTGAGATGTCTAGACGATGACACAAACTGTGAGGGTAAAGCAGACACCTCAAGCAGTCTTTAAGGGGGAAGGAGAATAAGAGAGAGTCACACAAAATAGTAACTTGTTCGACAATACAAGCTTGGTTGGCAGGCTTTTAAAATTCCTTTTAAAAAAAAATAAAGTTGTTAATATCACTTATTTTCTGATTGTGCATTCTCTCTTTTTCAAAAATTACAGATAATGTAGTACCAATAACAAAACCACACTGTGCAGGCTGTCATTTATGACAAAGGCCCTAAGCATTATGCATCAAAAGAACATTAAAAAAAAAAAAGTTAAAAAATTAAATTCCGTCCCCTCACCAGAAGATAAAAGGTAATCAAATTATGTGAAAAAAATCTATCAGAAATTTGACAAGCTGAATCAATTTATAAATCATAACATAATCAAACCACGTGGTTCTAAAAATACACATAAAAACTCTCAAAACTGCTTACTCCGGTGTGTAAACTACAGAATCAGAGACAAACCTGAAGCACTGCACAGGGAGAAGTCTGGCCCTCAGGAATCTCAGTGGCTCCGACAACTGGTGATTGGCAACAAGCCCCAGTTACTGTCCATATCCAATTACCAGATTTCTTAGTCTTCAAAGCGCAGTTTACAAAGGATAACATATCAATGCTGCCTTTTCTTACGACAAATTCAACTAATGGAGCCAAGAAGATAAACCTGTGTAACAGCAACTGGTTGGTGCTCACAGAACAGCAAGGCCGCCTCGAAGACGAAGGCGTCCGGTTTCGGAGCCTAGGAAGCATCCACGGGAACTGCAGCAGGCCCGAAACCAGCCAAGAAAAGCGGCTTTTTCTGGTGGCCTCCATTTCTGTCATACGTGGTCCATCCCTTTGTTCTCATTATACACTGGTCCCTCCCTCAGGCCTGCCTCCACGAGACGAAAAAGAGGGAAAATACCCAGCCTGGTGCAGGACGAATGAAGGAGTGGGCTCCCTACCCACAGGAGCGGGAGGCCTGTGCTCCCCCCACGGCCCCCCCAGTCACACATTTTGTCTTCTTCTATGAGGGAAAGGCAGGGTGAGACATCGCTCCCTCTCCAGTCACCGTCTGCCGGTACTACAAGGTCTGAGCGGGGCTGGGATTTTGTGCTCAGCCCTGGCAGGGACAGAGGACAGCGAAGGACGAAATAGTTCTTCTCAGTGCTGAGACAGCAAAATTCAGTTTCAAGTTACGTTGCCGAGAAGTCCCTAGCTAGTGTCTCTTTATCCTCCCAGACTTGCCGCAAAATTAACCATTCCACCACATGGCAAAAAACCTAGAATGTCTTCCACTTTATGAAAACTGAAAATTACAGGCTCCTGTCTTAAGTCTTTTCTTCAAAACTCACTGGAAACCATCCAGTCCTGTCAGTCTCCTGCCGTATGGACAATCAAGATAGATCCCTAATGCGTTTATAACATGGAAATAACAATTTCAAAGAATAGCTACACAAACATTGAACATCTAACATGTCCTCTTCCCAATAAAGCAGAGTCAGTCATATGAACAAAAATGGAGGATTCAGAAAGCCGGAGGTTTCTCCCAAATAAGCTATGTCCCGTTTGGCACTTTTGGCTAACACATATTATGTTACAGACATATGTAACACCAAAGATCCCGATGCCAGAACTTTTGCCTCTATTTCAGCTACCTTACGCACTCCTGGTGTGCTCCTGACACCCTCCAGCACTTCCTTGGCAGCTAATGAAGGGCAGTTTGGCTGCTGGCCACGCTTCCCATCCGGGTACACTTGCTGAACCCTGGATACTACTTAAAAATTACATAGCAGTTGGCAGGTGGCAATCACCAAGTAGCATCACCTTAACTTACATCTACACGCATAGGTGACTATGCTCCAGGCTAAGCATATATGCTTTGAGTCCTTCTAGCTGGATAAGTGAAAGCACAGCCTCCAGCAATCCTAACATGGAAAATTATAACCTGAGTTAGCATACTTTTAGATAGAAACAATTTACATAAACTGTTAGGAGTAATATCCTCCCCAGCTATGTGGAAGAATCCATCTTTCGTCTGGGGTTTATGGATTGTTTATGGCAATCCCACAGAATCTGCCAGACCAGTCTATCAATATGGATGTGAAGTTCTAGGCACACCAGCCCAGACCTATCCAAAAAGAGAGAAATGAGCACTGTCATTTCATCATTGTCTGTTGCTATCTGATTTAGGAGCTCTCTGCCACATACGATTTCATTGCAGTTCCTATCTAACCTATTTAGCCTGCTTCACTGGTAAAGAAAAGGAAAAAAGGAAGAAAAAAACCACAAAACCCAAAATCCAATGCTTCCTAAGGATAAAGTACAACATTTTAAAAGCACATGCACATACTGGAACAAAAACAAAAGTAAGAAAGGGAAGGGGGGCAGGAGAAGGGACACACACACACATATGCTGCTTTCAGGAACCTAACCACGCACCTTGATTACTCAATCTTACATAAAAAGTTCACCCAATTTTTTAGAGCTGTGACACTGCATATCTGGCTTGCTTTGTAACCACAGCACCCAGTTTAAATCTGACCACTCTCTCCTTCCCTGGTCAGCCTTCTCTCCCACACAACTCAATCCAATTACCATCTTTCCATGACAGCTACAATTTTCCAAGCACCTACACACAACTGAGTCACTTCTACTATGTTTAGTTCTGTTGCTTACACTGGCCAGATTTAAATTAAGAAATAGTAAGAAACTGTCTATTTCCTTTCTCTGAAATAATAAATCCCCATCTGTTTACACAATACTTCAAACTCCTCTATAAACAGCTTTCAAAACAAAAAGTTTTTCATAAGAAAGCTCTTGTTAGACCCCACCTGGAGTACCACGTTCAGCTCTGGGGCCCCCAACATAAGAAGGACATGGACCTGTTGGAGCAAGTCCAGAGGAGGGCCACAAAGATGAGCAGAGGGCTGGAGCACCTCTCCTGTGAGGAAAGGCTGAGAGAGTTGGGGTTGTTCAGCCTAGAGAAGAGAAGGCTCCAGGGAGACCTTATAGTGGCCTTCCAGTAGCTAAAAGGGGACTTACGGGAAAGCTGGAGAGGGACTTTTTACAAGGTCATGTAGTGATAGGACAAGGGGTGACGGCTTTAAACTGCAAGAGGGTAGATTTAGGTTAGATGTAAGGAAGAAGGTCCTCACTGTGAGGGTGGTGAGGCACTCGAACAGGTTGCCCAGACGAGTTGTGGACGCCCCATCCCTGGCAGTGTTCAAGACCAGGTTGGATGGGGCTTTGAGCAACCTGGTCTGGTGGAAGGTGTCCCTGCCCATGGCAGGGGGCTTAGACCAGATGATCTTTAAAGGTCCCTTCCAACCCAAACCATTCTATGAAAGCTTGTTTTACCAACAGTAACTTTAAAATGTAGCATATTCGAGGACAAAACAATTTCAAAATTGATAGGAAATTTCTGAACTCATTAGGAAGATACTTAAAATAGACTTGCACTTGTTTGACAAGGCTAAATAAATCCATAACAATAATCTTCAACTAATCATAAAAAGGCAAAACACAGAAAAGTTTAGTGATAACAAAAATAATTTCATTTTTTTGTTCAAAATTTTAAAAAATATCAGGCAGGAAGCTGGATATTTTTGCGGAGCACAGTAAATTGGCAGAAACACACAATTTTTACAACTGTAGATACTGTAAACTATGGCATTTAATCCCTTAATACAATTGCCACAAAACATGCAGAACTGTTTTGCATGCTAGGCCTGTGTGGAACTTCTAGATTCTCCTGGGCTGTACGCCTATTATTGGATGCTATCACAACAGTTTGTCATTAATTACAAAAATGATACCTCCTCGACTGATATTTCCTGTACGTCACGTAGACCCATGAAGAAGGATGGCAACACTTTTCATTTTCACTTCTGTCTTGTGCAACCTCTACATGCTGGTGCTGCCAGCATTGCCCAATCCTTGATGCTAAGCTTGATCCTAGACTTCTAATTCCCTCAACACTGTATTTAAAGAAACTGCAAGTGCACCTAAAGCTGGTTTAATAGATATGATTTTCAAGACATCTCAATGTTTACAGCTAGATTTAGTGCCACTGAGGACTGCAAATGTAAGGAAAAGGGGGGGGTGGGGTGGGGAATCTAGTGGGGGAGTTAAAACAAGGCCAGTAGTTAAGCTGCTCCAAGATCTCACACACAAGTCTTGAAATTACCAGTTAGTTTCCTAAAATGTGCGTCACTGCATCCATGAAGAACTGCCTTTCTAATCGTTTCTTGCTAGCCAGGCATGTGGAAGACTGAGAATTACTTTAAAACTTGGCCAACGCAAAATATCAAATATGTTAAAAGTTGCCAAGGCAGAAACTTTTCATAGTGACTTAAGTGTTCTGTCTACTTGAACAAGGATTTGTGGTCCATCAGCTGACCTTTGGGTAATGCTTTGGAGACGGAATAATTGTATAACTATGGATATTCATTATATGTAGGTTACAAGCTACACATATCATTTAACAATTAAAAAAATACCAGTGAAACACTACTGCAGAGAAAACTGAAAGAAAACGTTTGAATGGCGATATTAACTTAATACAGTCCCAAAAATTTAGGTAACAAAGATGCCTTTTTCCATATAGCAGTTAGAAGACTGGGTGAAGATAACTGTCCCTGATACCCCTCTGTATCTGCAGCATATTTGTGCAATTCTATGCTGAAGTCCCTGTGGTGGCAGAGTCATGGCTCTTTGAACAAGCTCTCATCACATTATTAACGCAGACATAGCAACTGAGAGCTCGGAGCAGGATGCAGAATCCGTTCAAAAGTCTGGTCACTACTCGGGCATGTATCTCCCCACGATCCTCATGCATTCATTTAAAGCTTTCATGATGTTTTCTGTATACATTGCATTTAATCATAGTCTGAGGATTTTGTGAGAACATTTAAAATTAACATGTGTCTTGATATGGGTATTTAAGAGGAGAATTTGGGGCAAAAAAGGAGAACTACCAAACTGTGGCATAGTGACACAGAGATCCAGTTTTGTGAAATGCTTATAAAAGAAAAAAATCACAGTAGACAAACTGGTAAACGTTTTAGCACATGACTTCTCAGTCCTACTTCATTATAGATAACACAAAGAGACATTAAACAAAATGAAAAATAAATAACATAAAACTTAAAGTTTTTTTTAAAATGCAACATAATTACTCCATAGCAGTCTTTGATACAGTCAGCAGCAATAGAAAGCTATATTCAATAAAGACATTGATCTAAATGTAAGAATAGTACATTACCTAAAACAAAAGTAAGAAATGCATATAAAGTCTTGTGTTCACAGTATAGACAATGACTACTTACCTCTTTCGAGCTGCCTGCTATTAGCAATTATCAAACAAAAAAAATCAGTGTAGGCCACCCACTTCCTTATTTAAACTTGGTAACCCCAATGCAATCACAAACAAGAAAATAGAGGTAGGTTATTACTGTTTAGCAGCTATTTGTTCAGTAGCATATTTTTTACCTGCATAAGGTCCTGCCTTTCTTTTTCACCTGTACATATAGCTTTCTTTATGGTTCGAAGCTCACTCATTATAGCTTGTGCTTCATCCAGTCTATAATTTGTATGAGCACTTGACATCTTACGATCAATCCTGTTGAAAAGATTAAGACAAATTCAGGAATTTTCACATAATCAGAAAGTGCATAGACATTTTAAGACCTGTTGTTCATTCATGTACCACTTTATTTCCAGGAATAAAATGATACTCTACTTGGAATTAACACAGCACTCAGTGCCAAGTACACTCTAAAGACAAAGCAATGCAATTACTTACCCAGGTTCTGCAGAACCAACAAATTTCCTGGGTTTAGTATCCTAATACAGAGCGAGCTTACAGGTAGTGTCTGTGGACTATTTCACGCAACAGAAGTAAAATCAACCTAAAACTAACCTATAAAGATATTAGCAGTCCAGCTGTCATATTTTCCATGCAGCACTACACATCACAACATCTCTTCCAGGACTTCTATATGATCTTTCTTCAGAAGTTTCTAACACAAGCATTTCATTTTCTTGGGAAGAAATTTTTAATTCCTAAAATTTTATTGCAAATGTTTTCCTGCCACTATGGGCATCTTTGAGTATCTCGTCTAGAAGACATCATTGTCCTGCACTAAGGAATATCACATGGGACCATTCCAGAAGGTTTCAAATGCAAACTCAGCAAGGAGCAAGAGCGCTACTCACTACATGAGATTGAAGTACTAATAACATTTCCACCTTGCCATAAAAATCTCTCATCTTATGTGGGACATCCACTGTCTGATCCACTTTTTTTCCAGCAGTTTGCAATAGTAAAGGACAACAGATCAGGACACAGAAGCCTAGTCCAGTGTACCATCTTCATAATTTGCTTTGATTTATAGATAAAGAACAAGACCAGATACTCTGCAGAACTTACTAGAACCACCATTTGGTCTCAGATTTACAATGAAAAGCTATGGGTTTTTAACAGGCTACCCACAGCCATTAGTGAAAATTGTGTTAAATTCCTGTTAAAATATGAAAAACCTCAATTTTCCTGTTAATCTAGCATAGAAAGTGTGTATATAGAAAAAAAGGTGGTATGTGTAATGGTCCCTAAGCCAATGCTAAGAATGAACATCTCCAGGAAAAGGTGACTCTGGTTAACAGAATTAAAGATAAAACATACATCGGTCATTACAGAGGACATCAGTCTATAAAAGGATGTAGTAGGAGAGGGTACACTATACATATATGACAAGAATACTCAAACTCTATTTAAAATATTGAGAATAACTAAAAGTTTCAAGGCAGGTATTATATCAAGCTAAGAGTGTCAAGAACACTCACTCAGCATGTTCTGCCAGTTAAACAAAATCAGTGAAATTTCATTTGCAGCAGATTACTTGGTTTAAAATTAAAATATTAAAATGAAAAATCAAAAGGCTTGAATGAAAATCCTGTGGTTTTATTGTGCAGCTCACAATATTTAGGAAAAAAAAATGCAGGTTAAGTTTCTATGGTTTTGGTTTGTTTGTTTTTTTCTGACAGTTCCTGCTTTTGGAGTCAACACAAAGTAAGTCTGAACCTCAACCTTCCTACTTAAACACAATTTTCCCCATGTTGCATAAGAAAATATATAAGCCTTTATGATATTTGGTTCAAGAACAAGAAAGGACTTAAATGTCATGTGGATTAAAGGGGTTTTTGGTTAGGTTAGTTTTGTTTTCCTTTTAAGATGTTTACTTGAGTCTTCACTAATTTATAGTTAAAATCCTGAAAAGATTAGATAAAACCATGGTAAAACTACTAATCCAATTCATTAAAAGTTACATGAAAAAGATAACATGTGGTTTTATCTGAAGGTTACCATAATGTTAAGAACATAGATTCTGCCCAAACATTAGACCTGAAAATGCCTCTTACAAAACTGCTCATTATACTGTTTGCCAGGTCCAAGGTGGCATTTCAGGAAAAGGAAATTATTTAATTTCAACCAGATTTTTGTCCAGCTACCCACATATTCATGTTCCTGGACGTCATTTCGGAGCCCAACTTATGAATTGGTATTTGTTTAAGGAAAGAATCAGAAAAGTTTCTACTGCCAGAAATATTTGAGCTTAAATCAGTATTGCTGTCAACCCAAACTGACTTAAGTATCTTACAAAATTATTTGTTATTTATTGTCTGTTACCTCCTTTCACAAAGCTCTAGTTTGAAAAGCCACAAAGTTAACAGGAATCTTCCGTTTTATTAATGGAAAAGAGCATGACACAAATACAGATTAGACCTTTGTATGAACAGAAAGAACATTCAACTAATACCCAAAACTATGAATAAAGTATACATTTTCTGAGGAAGATGTTTCTAGGATACACAGACTATTAATACACTTGCAATACTTCCAGTCCTATAGGGCAGTTTCCATGTTCCTCTATTGTTCTCCACAGGCCTTCAAACACACAAGACTCCCCCTATCCTCACCAAAGCTCAGGTCTGTAGCCGAGTTAAAATCTAATTTAATTTTGTCAGGTCTCATATGCTCTAAACTAGCCTGTAGCTACAAATTGTTTAGTCAGTCCTAATTCCCTGTCTCTCCCAACTTCTCTCAGCATTCACACCGCTCTCGGAGCCAACTGGCCAAGTTTTCATTTCCTTTGTTGCTAAATGCCTTCCTCCAAAATTCCTGCCGTCGAGCAGAAGGGTCACTGAAAACACAGGGGAGGAGGAACTGCTCCTCCTCCTCAGTCCCTGCGCCAGGTCAGAAGAAGGAGTTTGTTCCAGGAAAGGCTCATCTTTAACCCTATAACTCTGGACTGCGACAGGATCAGCTGCACCTTGGGCAAAGGCGCCTGCGGAGGTTGAGGAACACTGTCATGCAGGGTGGGATTTTTGCAGGCTTTAAACGGTGAGCTCCAGAAAGTCTCCAGTGGGCAAAGGCAGACTGCGATGTCCAAAGGCTTATCACAACATTGCCAAATTTGGATGAAACAATAGAAAACACAGCCCTAAGAAAAAGCTGCAGCACTACAAAGTTTGAAATTCTGACCGTATTGAAGTTGTAGAGGTATTAAAAAGAAAAAACTTTAATCCTCTCTCCCTCCACTTTTCTCTAGTTGCTTTGTGGTTCGGTTTTTGGGTTGGGTCTTTTTTTTTTTTTGTCTCCTCAAAGATGGCTAAGCCATTTTACTAAAATTAAAAAGAACAGAAAACAAAACACAGTCCAAGGCAGACACTGTACGTGGAAAATGTCAATGCAAGAGATTTGCATTTAACAAAGGCATCTGAATCAGACAGCAAAATAAATTGATGGAAATACAGAGCAACCTAACCACCCTCATGATAAAATATGTCTCTCCTCTAAGAGCTATACCCAGCAGAGGTGCCCAGGAAGTCGCATGGCAGCAGGTTCTGATACCTGCTCATAATGCCATTCTGGTCAGACTTTCAAAGCAAACATTCAGCCAGATGTAAAGTCCAAGTGTGACAGCTCCTAATGTTGTTCTTGGCTTATACTTGAAATAAAGTGAAGAACACGGCTTTAAAAAAGCTGAACAGGACGCATGCCATTCTCAGTTTGGCAGTTACTTGAAGATTTGACCTAGCACAAGAAGGAAGAAAAATTATGCAGACAAAAAGTTTAGAAAAGGTAACAAAAGGGGAAAATGTCTGAGATGTAAGAAACTTAAAAAAAAAATTTCTGCATATTTGTTTTAAAAAAAAGGAGCAATGAGTTTCTTTTTAGACAATATACTTACTTCACGGATATGCAAAAACTAAAATACTTCAGCTTTGGTACTTGACTCGAGTGACCCTTCTCTCCTGACAAATACAAGCAGTAGGGGAGAGATCGCCCAGGGACAACCTAGAGCACAGTTAGGCTTTTAGCCTGATTTGTCTGCAGACTACACAAGGAGGCTAGAGAAACTTCTCCCTTCGGTTGTTAGCGTGAGTACTCTCCAAATCGGCTCACTTCCAACTAGAAGCAAAATACTCAAAAGAAAGCACGTATCTCACCAGAAGGACAATTAAAAAATTACTTAAAAACACAAAACAAAGAAAAACCAACAAGCCTCTGGTTCACAAGTGAAGTCGTCACTGCAGAGAGCAGAGCTCAGCAAGGCACAAACACTGACAGAAATTCACTCCAATCCTCCCCAGCTTCAGCAAGCAACAACAAATGCCACCCAGTGCACCAACAGGACAGAGGGTGACCATAGCAATAGCAGCAATGAGCAGCACCGAAGCATTGAGTTTTCATACTTGAACTTTTAAACTAGATGATTAGAGTGACCACTGACTAATCAGATATGCTTTAAAGTAATTCCTCTCTTGTATGCCTCACCTATACCGCATCCTGGAGTATGGGCAACTTCACTTGGGCTAAAATCCAAGACTAACATTTGTCGTCTTAATCATTCACAGACTTTACTTTTCAAAAAGTTGCACTATCTTAAATGAATTATATTAATTAAAACAATCTTGAGTTTCAAATGGCCTTCAAATACTTTCATCATCCTAGTCAACTGGTTAGTCCTTTTATAAAACAATTGAACCTACACCCTTAAAATAACTCAATAACCAGTAGGAAAGCAAATAAAGTAGAAAAGGCAAGGCAATTCTTACTCACGTCAAGAAAATATGATTAAGAATCTTAAGACAAAATTGCTTTTGTTCTGTTACTGCTTATGTATCTAGGCCACCATCCTAAAACGTTGACTATACCTAAATTATTACTTAAAATATTTGCTGTTTCAATATACCGAGTGCTTTATTTTACTAATTTTCAGTTAATACCATACATTAACAATTCCCCTAACTACCTGTAAATACTTAGTGTAGTCAATAAAAATGTATTTATGCCTGACAATTATTACATTATATCTGCCAATGAAGGATTTTGGCTGAAAAAGTTTTCTTCTCTGAAGCTTCTAAAATGCATTGTAAAACAAAAGAACGTTGTAAGCTTAAAAAAAAAAAAAAAAAACCAAACAAAAAACCCAAAACAAACCAAGCCCCAAACAATATGAAGTGCATGGGCTACTCCCTCTCCTTTAAAAGTTAAATCTGAGTATGTCCCTTTATATCATTTTGTTACCGTAATACCAATCAAAATCAAAGTTGGAAAATAAGTAACCTAATTGCTCCAAGATCCCTGAAACTTTGCCAGAATTCCTGAAGCGAAAGTGTGCGCCCATACTTTGTAGCACCAACACAATAAATCCGAAACGTCAAAATATTTCCACAGATACTGTACTTATGCTGCAAAACGCATTAGACATGCAACAGTTCCAACGTTTTTCAGGAAGCGCCTGCATTAGGCAGTTCTTTCACATGCATGTTGGAAAAAATGCCAAGTTTTCTAAATGCATGGCCACATGTCCAAGGGAAACGCAAGAGCTGTTCAACACATGGTCTAGCCCCTGGCCTTGTTGAACAGATCTGGAAGCCACAACAACCTGTGTTTACCTGCCATCTTCTCCATGGCCTGGCAACCTCTCTCCCTACCCCACCGGGCATCCTGCATACGTGCTACGCATGTAGGTGACTAAGCGGCGCACAGATGGAAGTCACTCAGTTCCCATCTGATGGCCTGCGGGAAGAGTGGCAGGGAGAGGGTCACCACAACAGGTCACAACCTTTCCCACCACTGAGCGCAAAAGAAACAGAGCACCGGCTGCCTAATAGCCCCGGGGGCGGTAGCAAATTGCCCCAAGCTACCTTTCCGCACAGGGAGGAGACAAGGAGTCGCATTGACATGCGCTCATTCTGCAGACATGCAACAAAACCCAAAGTCTCACAGACCATCAGATTTGCAGTACATGCACAAATCAGCTATGCCGTGCAGAATGAGACAGCCTGACCGTAAGGTAAAAGGAAGAAGTAGTGTTGTGGTGTCCAGCCTCCCCCCCAGGAGAAGTACCGTGCCCAGCCAGAAAGCCTCGGTACTCTTCACAGGAAAACTACTCCACTGCGTGGTGCTTTGGGCTGTGCTCCAGGCACTGGGTATGTCCAGAAAACGTTTGGAAAATATTTTAAAAATCTAATTCCACCTCGACAACATCTTCAGAAGAGTTAAAGAACAGGGCCTATAAAACTGTTTTTGCATGTGGATCTATGAAATCACCACTCCAACCAATTCTGTCCAACCCTTCTTCCATCATTTCACACTGTTCTCACCCAGCATCACTATCATAGCAGAAACTCTGAAGCAAAGCAATTAAGAGGTTTCAACTTTTTTTTCTTTTTTTTGGCAATGCTTTTCTAAGAAATTCATTCCAAGGCGAATAAAGAAAAAAAAAAGATCCTCCCACAAACTATTAACTTACTCTTGCAGAGTTTCCACTCCTTTTTCCTTATATTGCAGCTCCTGCTTCATCTGTGCCAATTCTCGTTTTAGCCTAGAAAGCTGAATATAACAAGATAATTTAAAGTAATAATATGTAACAGAAACTTTCATAATAAAAATAATTGTTTTTCAAATACAAAATCTTAAGTTACTTTAAAAAATGGGAAGTGATAATCTAAGTTCCCTTCTTTTTTTGCTTTAAAATTTGCATTAAAATAACAGAAGACTTTCTGAAATATCTAAGACCCAGTCTAATAGCAGTCACAACATTCAGCTTTCAAAGTATCTATTTCCTCATCTATTCCATTAGTTAGCTTATGCTAACAGCTAGCAAGTTTCAATCCATATGATTCTTCTTTTCCCCTTGTAGCAGACAGACGCCTCTCAACTGTCTTCAACTCTTTAGTCAACTTCAAAAACAGACTGAACATTCAATGCTGCTAATTTTTCAATCTGGGAAAACAAAATCACTGGCAACAGAACTGGTCTCTCTCCCAAAAATGGCAGCCTGATTTTCTACAGTATTTTCATATTGTCCTGCCCTCTCAATCCCCCCCGCCAATTACCTTGATCCAACTAGTGAGCACAAATCAAAAGTGACAAAGCAGTGATGTCTCCAAAAACACATTTTTGTGGTTTTATGAAAACGGCTACCTGAGTAGGTTGGGCAGACGTTACAAGAGCACCATCAGCACCAAGAATGATCTGCAAAGAAATAGCTTCTTGCCCTCCAAAGCTGACAGGTAACTGAGGGCAACAGGAAGAGGAGGATGCAAGGGACTGCAGACAAACGGGGGGAATGGAGGCGCTTCAGTGTGTGGTGGTGAGGTGTGAGACTGAACTGAGAGCCCAAAGAGGGGCAGGGATGGCAGAAAAAAGCTCTCTCTCCTCAAGCTATCAAACTTGGTACCTTTTCTAAAATTTACCCGGAGTGCTCTTGACTTTCACATGTACATCAATAAATGACAAAACCATTACTAGAAAAAGAGTAAGGAAAAGAGAGTAAGGAAATGTGAGTTTTAAAAAAGAGTAGAAGAACAGAGAAAGAAAAAGTTTTTTAAAAAAAAGTTTAAAAAAATTCCTACATAACCAGGCACAGATTAATTTTGTCAGCTCTGCTCCAAGAGCAAGGGGCTTCACAGCAGTTCCAGGGATGCAAACCACGACTGCTAGAGTCTCACCATCCTCTGTGGCCCCCCCCTTCCCCATGTGTTCTTGCCCTTTCCTCAAAACCCATCACACCAGCCCCCCAAACACTCCTGTACCCTCACCAACTCTTTCAACGCTTGCCAAAAGTAAAATGAAAAAATGCATCACTAGTATCATGTACGCAAACACTTTATAAGTGCATATTTTATTCTATTACCTGAAACAACTCAATGCCTATGGACACACTCAGTTGGAACAGGTTATCCTATGGACTTAGGAGATCATTATGTTTTAAGGTGCAGGAACAGAGAGAAATAGTCATATAAGTGGAGACCTTGTTTCTTTTCTTTAAATATTATTTAAATAAATAAGGCTTATTTTCTCCTTTAGAATATGCTGACACTTAGAGTATGTGAAACAAGCAAACACTAGTCAGCACGTAGTAAACATATACAGATAGAATAAATGCCTTTGAAGGGTGGTGAACGGGATTTATTTTCAGAGGCACTCATGTGAAAAGTGGTCACTACAACAAAAATGGAACACTATCCTGCAAAGATAAGTATTTTTTATTTATTTTGTGAGCTGAATGCCTGGCATGCTAAACCCCATTTTATCCTTTAATAAAAAGAAACATGTAATTTAGAAATAGGTTCTAGAGCTTAATATTATAAACTGCTTTTTGTAATTGTTTATGACTGCTATATCAATTTGCTAGAAACCAACGTGCAGACTTCAACTCTTTGCTAAAACAGCGTGGGAGAAATCAAAGAAGTCAACTATTCTTCCTTCAGCAAAGACAGTACCAAAAGCATGACTCTAGTTTAAAAAAAATAAAATCTAAAAATGGAACATTTTTATTACAGAACTGCCTATCACTGTCAGAATGCTTGAACTCCCCTCCCCTCACAGAGGACCTCTGGCCACATCAGCTGAAAAGTTCTATTTGGCCAACATGTCTACTGAATTGTGAACAGGTTTCCAAACAAATGGCTAAATCTAGAGTTCAGTGACATCCATGGAACCCCATTGAAAATGGGTAAATGGGAAAATATGAAGACAGTGTGTTTTAACTGCACTTAATCAAGAAAGAATTTGGCTGCAGAGTATTTACTACTTGTGACAGTTTGCACATGGAAAGCGATTTCTGAAAGCCTGGCTGACTTTGCCTCTGACATCCGTGACAAAAATCTTTACGCTTGTAACATGGAAAAAGTATTACTTTGCAAGTCACTGAAATGCAGTAAATATAGACTCATTTTCATAGAACAATAGTTCAGAGTAGAAAAGCAATTTATAATATTATATTTCCAAAAATGCATGCAACATCCAGTGTAAATGCTAAAGTAAAACACATAGTCCTCCTCCCTTCCCCATGCCCAATTCATATTTTTACAAAATGAAAAAAGATTACTCACTCTGTCACGACGGCTGGCTATTTCTGCTTTAATCTGATATGGGTCATATTTGGTATTAGTTGAAAATCCAGAGAATGCTAAACAGATGGAAAACAGCATTTTACATTATTTTTTTTTCTTCTTTAATATGCTTGTTAAGATGTGGCACTATTTAATAGACCATAGCATTCATTCTTTGTGTTACAAGTCACTAGGTTTTAAAATAACCCTCTGTACTAAAGTACAAATGAAGAATTACCTTTGGCCTGCCTGAATTTTTTTTTGTCCTCAACAACAACAAAAATTGTATATAGTAGCACTGCATATTGCCTAAAAGCAACTAGCTTCCATGACAGGAGGGTGGCATTTACTGATGCAAGCAATTTGTGCAACATTAACAATTGCTAATTGCTTCCTACGTATGTTGAACTGAGAGTATGTTAGAGACTAAAGTAACAAAACTATTGTCAGAATAAAATTCAATCAGCTACAGAGAGAAGTTGCCTCCTAAAGCAACAGTGTAGGGAACCGACATAGAGATCAATCTCTGGCAAGTGAGATCTTAACACAGTGTATCTAGAGTCAGGCAATGATTTCAAGCTGTGGCATTACAAGCTAAATAAATCCTAGGCAGATGAAGTAAAGGTCCTAGAGGATAGGCTAGGCAAGACCAACCATGATTTATCGAGTGAGCCATTCACAGCAGCACTGGCCCCCTGCAAAAGGCCTGGTATGTGAGTGGATGGGGTTGTGCTGTTAGACCTACCATCCTTTTGTAGAGCTGAAGGCTGCTGCTTTAAAACCCATATTCGTGTCTGCGTTGCACTGAGCCTTTCAACTCTCGAAAGAATACTGCAACGCCAAGGTCATGTCAAGCATGCAGGAACTTGCCAAAATGAGTAGTCATGCCTGGATTAATTCTCTAAATCCAGGATTTTCTATGGATTTTTTTTTTTTTTTTAAAACAGTGCTGATCACAACTGAGTCACAGAACTGCTGCATGGGCACCTCCCTGCCAACCCACAACCGCTGAGCTCACACCACCTCCCACTCATGAGCACACGACACTGAGTCAATGGCAGCACCCACAAACAAAAAGGAGGAAAACAGTTTGTGAAGTTTTAGTTCTTTTAACACAACAGACTGAAACAAGTGATGGTGGAGGCAGGAATATTTGCAATATAAGCACCCAACTTTGGCCATCTAATTGCACTCGAATCAGGAGCCTAAGATTTCGGTAAAATAAATGGAGAAGCATCCATCCCAGAATGGAGTGGAGGAGCTGAATTAAGAAAACACAAGTGGAGAAGCCTTGGGGAATCTGAGCTGACAGCATGATTAATCCCCAAAGGGATTTTTAATTTTTTTTGGTAAATATATCATCTGACTAATCAGTCCATCCCATTTTCTCAAAACAGATGCATATGATCTTAAACCAATATAAAATATTAACATATCTGTAGAAAATTATTTTTTCACCTCAAAACAAGTGAAAGGTTTCATTAAATGATTTTACAGTATCTGACTATCAATTCCAGATATACCTAAAAAAACCCCAAACCTATCAGAAGACTGAGAAACATAAAAGTCAATGGACATAGCATTTGCATTCATGCTACAGATAAGCCCCAATTTTGTCATTTTCAGTCACATTTTGTTGCTGTTTCCAAGAGCTTTAAAAATATGAAAAACAGGTTATATTTTTCTAGTATATTATCTTCAACAGAAGTTTCTTTCTGAATATTCACCTGAAGTAATTCAACAAAATATCCCACAGAACTACTGCAAATTTTCAAAACAAAAAGCCCAAGCTCCTAGAAAAGTATTGTAATAAATGTGTATTTTGATTTTATAATCTAAATAAATACTGATGACACTATCTTTTACCCTATTCCAAGTCTTTAAACAGTAGTTAAACACTCTTTAAACAATAATTTCTTTTTTAAAATTTCTTTTTCTCAATAAGAAAAAAATTTAACCTTTCTTAATAATTCTTAAGAAACTTGAACATAACAGGAAGAAATAAGACTAGTCACAGCTGTTCAGTTATGTCACAAACTAAATCACCGAATACATATATTTAAAACTAAGCAAAAAGATGAGATAATCCCACTTCAACAGTGAAAGAACACTTGGTCAAGACCATCTGGGACACCTCAGCCCTAGAAAACATCTTCTATTCAGGATTTTGGCATACATATGAATTACCTTGGATCAATAAATACCACTGGATGAGTAGCTAAACGCTTCTATCCAGATGCCTGCTTTAACCGCCCCCTCCAGCCAGGTTTCTTGAACATTTTCAGAAAGGGCTAAGCAGATCTTCCCATACTTGGCATTTACCAGCAAATCCTGCAGTTAAACAATCGCTGTACACACAGCAGCCACTGAAAAGCCAGCAGCGCAGTGAAACTCCACTACATTTCCACGTGGCTGGTGGGTATATCCATCTGATACACTTCTTTGAACTAGACTGACTCTTCAGCAAAGACACCTTTTCCTGTTGCACCAGCCAACAGCCATGACAGTGGTGCAACAACTTCAGGTTTCAAAAAAAGTGTATAATCTACTCCAAGCTACCAGAGACATCTGAAGAATGAAAAGGGCAGGAAATCAAGGGTCTATGACCTACACCACCAGCATTAGGATCAGGGACTGGCATTCAAGAACAAGGTGCACTAATTAAACACTGCTTCCTACTTCATGGTCAGAGATACTCTTGATCACAACACCTCATCCCTAACTCTTTACAGAAATCGATAAAGCGACCATGGATTCTCAGAAGCCTTCCCCTAAGATGATGGTTCCCTCCCATGTCGAGGGTAAAATAATATATGAATTTAGGAGTGCAAGTAGGTGGCTGGTCCAGCAACATTCAGTCTTGTCTTTGTTACCTTGCATGAAGCATCACTACAGCTGGCTCCAAGATGGTTAGAGATGCTAGCGGGAACATATCCCTGTTTAATGTTAAAAAGGCATATTCTAATAGACCTAACAGGAAATGGAAGTCCCTGAATAGCAGTTAAACGATAGTGCCTCACTTCTGTAGTCAGGATCTTCATTCAGAGGAGAACCAGACGATGGAAGCACTTCACACTATTTCTTACGCCACATGTTGTGAGAGGCAGGTGGGTAAATCAAGAAAAGACTAGTAAACTCACAGCTGGCATAAGAACGGCTGTCATCCTCACACATTTTGTGCAATTGTTGGTATTCTTCTTGGGCTAGTTCAAAACGCTGCTGCTTTACTTGGTAAATCTCTTTCTTGGCATTGAGTGCCTCCTGGGCAACTATTAAATATTCCTTTAGCATGCGTTCCTGCTCCCTTCTCCATTGCTCCCTTGGGTCCTCGATTTGTGTGAGCTCTGAGGAGAAAAGCATAAAAAAACAAAAAAAGAATAAATTGTAAGACACTTCAGCCTACAAAGTACAAATTATTTTAAGGTCTGTTCTCAACTAGCACACCTAACACTACATTGCTCAAAATCACTCCAGCCTGGACAAGAAGTAGTAAGGACACAGAGTGGAAGAACAGGGAAAGCCCTTCCAAATATAAAAGGCATTTAAATTTGATTCTTTTCTTTACAAATTAGAGTAAACCCAAAGAAAACAGTGTTTTGGCTCTAACTTTCCCTCGTAGCCAACTTCAAAATTCTGAGAACTACCTAAAACCCCAGAACCATGTAGGAGCGTGAAAGGTATCTCAATGGTTAACCCATAACTCTATAAACGGTTGGAACAACCTTAGAGATACTACATACAACTTTACAAGTATAAGTCCTGAAAGGTCAGTGACTACACCTGTGTAACTAAGGAGAATAAGGTCATTCAACAGAAGTTAGCATTTTAATCTCAAATCCATAAAAGCATTTAAAACGGTTCTTTTTTGATCTTAAGAAACAGCACTCTCATGCTTTCCCTTTCCAGGATTTAGAACAGTTCGTATTCAAACACAATAAAAAATAGGTTTCCAGTACAAACTCTTTCCCATATATATGGATTTTCAAAGTTATTACCATGCAACAGTATCTTTGCAGTTGCAAAGACACTGGAGGAGGACACATACATTAAAAACCTAAAAAATTATTGGTTCATTTGTTTTCTTTTTGTGGTGATGCTCAAGCTAGCAAATATGTTTTACATGAGGATGTCCATGTAAAGTCTTGTGTTTAAGTGAATGTTAATTTCTGATGATTGAGGCTCTACCAGTAAAAAGTTGCTGCAGATGCAATGTCAGTGTTCAAAGCAATGACAGAACCTGCAGCACAGTCAGGAGGTAAACACCTGGTCATTTTTTCCAAACTTTGTTTCTGACAAGAGATGAAAGCCAGTTATGTTTTGTATTATCTTGTGTATGTAAGTCAGTATATTGGTGTCAGTGTTGAAACAAGAAACTTATATAAAAGATTTAGCCCAACACATTAAGAACTCCAATGGTGTCAGGGTCATGCTAGCAGCTCTACCATTTGAGAGCCATCTGAAAAGTACATAAACAAAACCACGAAGCTCATCTATGAACAGTACTTCCAACAGATTTGTATATTAGGTTTCTAATAAGCTTTTCTCGCAACAGCTGTAACATTTCTCTCCCCACAACTCCTCACATTGCAAGAATATAAAGACTGTCCCTGTAGTTGTGCAATTTCTCCCCACTTCCCAGGGAACCTCGATTCCCAGCAGCACCTTCTGGCTCCAATGCCCCCAGACTACCTCTGCAGCCCAGGACAGGATGTGCTGTGGCTTGTTCCAGTCTCCATAAATCCTTCTCTGCACGTAGGGCAAGCAGAAGCAAACAGAGTTCACATTGCAGCCCATCCTTTACTGACAGCATGGTAATTTGCAGTGCTATCTCATCTGTCCGTAAGTATTCCTGAAATCTGTGCAAATTTAATATTCCTAAAACTGCTAATCCCCTATGGAAACTATGCAGAAATTAATAAATATTTATAAGACAGAAAAGGTGGATCCTAGTAAGTGTCTCTTTTTTAATAGGAAATTAATCGTTCTAATCTCAATAAACAGCCATGGCTAAAATGTTATGTTGTATCACACATTAATTTTCTGAGGTCTTATACTACAGGACACTGCATCTCTTACCAAATTGTTTCAGAAGCTTTCTCAAAAGCTAGCAGCGTTCTTCTGAGGCAGAAAACTTCTTCAGTACAGTAGTAACATTCTCTTCTGTTTTATAAAGTACAGAGGCTTCCCTTTGCCCTGGATTTCTACACAAGTTTGCCATGTAACAACACAACTAAAGCTACATTGTATGATAAAATTCACTTTCTTAATTTCTCTATAACCAATTAAAACAAAACAAAACACCCCACCACCCCAAAATCCCCACTACAGTAATTCAAGAACAGCCCCAGACAAACGCAGAGAATATATTATTCTCTCACTGGGGAATGCCCAACTGGTTAAAGGAGACTTCAAAGGCTCCCAAGACTCTGAGGAGGAGGGAAAGGAATTCTGCGGCTGGCAGCCGCCAAGGTTTTTAAGCAATGGTTGGACAAGAGCCAAGAGCAGCTTAGTAAGGGTGTCAACAAAGTACTGAATTTAGAGAACAAGATGGAGATCAGGGTTGGAAGCACCATTGAGATTTACAGAAGATTCCTCTGTTCCCGGAGTTTTTCAATATAAATGGAAAGTTATTGCCTAGAAATCTTTTTATTACTTTTTGGGTAAACAAACATAGCAAGAGGCTTGGAAAAATCAGATGTATTACTGTTTTCTTTTAAAAGGTGGAAGGGCAAAAAGCTTGAGATGGTGCATAAAGCATGAGAGGTCCCTGGTAAGCATAATGCTAGAAAGACTCTCTTTGAATTATCCCTTGCGTTTTCTCACAATATATCTTGAAACCAAAGCACTTCTAACTGTTTTGTCAATTAACACAGAACTCCAATGCTGTATAAAGCATTTAACCTGGTCAGCCACAAAAGGCAGTCGGAATGTTTTGATGTGGAAGTTGCCATTCCAAGTATTTTAGACATAGTTCAGAATACAATGTAAGGGAGTCATTTCAGAAAAATTTTTCTTCAGTTCCTACACCATCTCTGCCACTTGCCTGACACCATCTCATGACACACGATTGTCTACTCATTAGTTCTCACTTCTACAAAGGAGGTTAATGCAGTCTTGATTGGTACCTTTGTTATCCACAGTTTAAAATTGGACCGAGTATCCTACCAATAATTTGAATAATGATTATCCAGCTATAATATCAACTCTTGTCTTCCCTCTGAATATAAATCTCGCTTGTATATGCAAGCGCTGTATTAGCCTAAGGGTGACAAACCCATTTTGCTGTGACGGTTGAATTACCATTTAGGATAATATCTGTGGGCTGCAAGTAATTAGTTATCATGAAAGAGACAAATTTTGCAACCTTGTTAATTGCAGAATGATTCCTTTCCCTCAGTTCAGTACTGGCCCTATAATGTTTCCATCCTTCTGTTTATATATTACCTTTACTTAATTCCCAATATGATTAGTTTCTTCTCTTTCTGGGCCTTCCCATTGAGCATTTAGGAATTCAACTTCTCTCTGCAAAGACTCTCTTCTACAGTTTTTGCTCTCAACTGCACAGAAAAAACACGCGAGCCAGATCTGACATGCCTACAATGATTAATATCCTTTCTGTAAGTTCAAACTTGATGTTTGTGGTAAAGCCACTAATAACAAAGTCTGAAAAGCAAAAGGGAGTGATTTCTTTTGCATGCGATGGTGATTGTTATTCCTATCAAAGATGCCTACCAGTAGGATGCTTTAGTAGCTTTTTTAGTTGCAGCATTGCAATGGGAGTTCATGTTCTACTCACTACCTATAGGGACTCCTAAAGCCTTCTACAAAGTTCAAGAAAAAAAGAAAATTGCCAATATCCTCATTTGTACTTTTACTAATATGTGCATTCACGCACACGTACATATGTTGGTGCAAGTGTACTCCATTACTGTACTCCGATGTAAACCTCACTTTGTCTTAAACTTCAACATTAACTAAAGTTACCATGACAGTTTAAAGAGCAATCATCATTAAGCTACTACTTCTTTTAAACAGAGTTATTGTAAGAATTACCTAACAGTCTGTATTTATTGCCTTTCAATTGTCTTGGCTACCTATCTTTATGATCGGTGCATTAACAGCTCTTTAAAGCTTATTATTTAATTTGCAATCTTTGTTAATTTCACAACATATAAGTACCCATGTTGGTCAAACAATATCATGGGAACATTTGTTATTCTGTTGGGATTTTATTTAAATAAGTAATTGTGAAACCACAATACACAAGTAATTCCAATGATGGCAGGAAGCCAAACTCTATTTCTACACTTTTATTTTTTAATTGACTAGATTTTAAGTAGATAGTATTGAGGTTGTTTTTGCAGATTATACTATTTACCATTGCTGTGATAGCCCATATAACTACCACCTTCTCTTCTCCCTCCCCACCAACCGCCAATTGCCACAATATTGAAAGCATTCACTCATTGGCGATAAGAAGCTTAATGATAGCAGCACAACAGTAACAGCAGCAGCAGTACAAAGCTGTAAAGATAAGACTTTTTTTTAAAAGTAGAACTGGCAAATGTGCCAGACAGTGGCAATAGAAAGCTCAGCAATAGTCCAAAGGGGAAAACATTGGAAATTTCTCCATCTTAGTTTCCAAAAGGGACATCTGTTGTCTTTTTGATAGCACTTTGTACTGTATTAAAGCATAAAACATACATTGCTTAAGAGAGGATGAGAATATTGTATTACATTGTGCTTCTAATTAAAAATCAGCACCTTCAGAATGTATTTTGCTTTTCAATATAGGAGAGTGAACTACGGTTGACTAGAAAAAGAGGAAATACAAGAGTATAGGACGAAAATCTTAACTGACATGTGACAAAAAGCAACAACAAAATTACTGATACTCCACAGTATGACAAAGCAAAACAAAAGAGTTTTATACACTCTAACTCGATCATAATTTGTAAAATTCTTTACAAATGGAAGAAGGATTGTGCCCCCATTTGAAAGAAAGAAAACAGATACTGCAAGAAATTACTTGCATGCATTTTCTCACTGTAGCATGAGGTGCATAAATGCCATCGGAAACAAAGCTAGTGCCACCAGTTAACATCAGCTTGCTAGGATTTCTCAAAATAATCATACATCTACTCACGATTTATGTGGTCCATATAATAAACTCCAATCTGTTGATCGTAAACAGTTTCCCATCCTAAAGGAAGCTCATCACCGACACAGTCAGCAAATGTCAATGGCTTTGTAATCCTGCAAAAATAAAAATAACACAAATAAATACAAAAGGTGCAGAGTTTACAGTGCAATGAATGTTATTACACATTTTGAAGATACCTCCATCATTTGATCACAAACTAGTTATGCTGCTGAGGAATGTGCTAATTACAAACATACAGTTTCAAAATAAAATTTCATTTAAATATGCTGACAGATACTCCCCAAACAGGTAAGACAAGCTTCTCCCTTCAAGTTGCTATGTTTAACAGTTTAATTACAATGGCATGCAGTCCTGCCAGTTTTTCTCCCATATTGCAAAGAACACAAACCTGAAGCTGGAGTTCACTGATGCTAAAAATTACTAGAAGCTTTATAGGCTTTAACTTCTTTAAGGTGTCAAAGCAGTATAATTGTTTATCCTTAAAAAAAATGAAATCAAATTTTAAGAAAGCACTATAAACCAGATTTCTCCTCTTTTCAATTATACATTTCCAACTACTAATGATAATCTCTTGGTCCAGACCCATCCAAAGTAATTCTGCTCTCTCAAAACGAACAGAGACAAACAAATGTCTCCAAAGAATTCCAAAGCCATTAGAGCAGACATAGTAACTAATAAGTAACAGCATTACTATCTAGCAGCTTAAAATATCACACCCCTTGCTAGGCAAAATCTTGATAGGCCAGTAGGTTATAGAAAGCCAAAACAGCTATTTCGATTTTCAATTTATTGACAGGAACGTTGAAGATACTGGGTTACAAATTCTAGAGAAAGACTCTAAACTAACACTGTTCTGGAACATCAAGGTATATAAAAAAAACTAGGATGAACAATGATGTAAATAAAAAATCCTTAACATTCAGTGGAATCGCATCTATTTCCCAAATCATCGTTTTCATCATTACTTAACCCCTAAAATAATGTTTTCCTCTAAAAGCTGCCACAAAATTCCTTTACAAAAAAGCTATTAATATAGTAATTTCAATTATACATGGGATATAGATCCAACACCTTCAACGTTTATTTGTTGAGGCATTTCCAATACCTAGAATGATGATGATAGCTTTTCAAAGATTAAATAACATGCATTAATTTAGGAACTGACTTATGTTCAGCATAACCTATGGCATAATACTGTTTGGCGTAAAATGGAAATTCCATTTGTATGTTACAATACCCAATTAAGGTTTCCTGACACCAGATTCGGACTATGTGTACAAGTACACTGGGGAGTAGAGAGATCACTGGGACTGGTAATTGCACTTCATCTGATAACACCTCTACAAAACAATAACTTTGTCTGAACTAAAACATGTTTGTCTTTGAACTAGAAGTCCTTCTCCACCCCAAAACAAAATCAACCAGAAGAATCCAATAGTGAAGACTTGAAATGATGGAAATACTACTATATTCTAGCTATTCCAATGGTCCAGTAAGCACACCATTCAACCACTAACAAAAAGCACATAACTTTGCACACAGCAAACAGAAAAACTGCATTTACCTGTCTCCTAAAACTATTTTAGTATTCTTGAGATTAAAGTGTTCAAGATTAACTGTAGAAGAATAAAAAAATCATATCCTCACTAGCTTAAATATAATGTTTGAACAGCTCTGCACAACAGTACAAAGATCAAGTTATTTAGGTCAAATAATAAAGAGCCTGATCATATGCTATGGATTCTCAAACATGTATAAACAGTTTAGTAAGATGAAGATGTACATAAACTTGAACACCACTGTTTAAAGTAAAAATTTTCCATTACTGACAAATACGTAGTTTACATCATGTAATCATGCAAATCCAAAGCTGCTGTATTCAAGAAAGAAAATGTTACTATGGACTGGCACATGGATTCTTTCAGTAATTCATCTAGCAGTCAGGCAGACCAAATATTGCCAAAATAGTTCTGCTCTCCCTGGAATTCAGTCAAATATTAAAAATATAACATGCAGCATTTTTTTCTTAAACTCTCATGGTTTTGTTCTGAAGATATCATGTTTACAATTTCTCAAAGTAGTCTAGACATGGGCTCCTAAATTACCACACTATAGACAAGATTTTCTTTGGAATGAGTTATGAGACATGCTTGCTTGCTATACAAACACACCCTCACCCTTTATTCGTAAATAAAACCTGCACATGATACTCTAACCTTTCACACTACAAGAACTTCAATTCAATGCTGTGATCCCACCAGGGCTCAGACTTCCAGGACAAGGACAACACTCACTTACTGGAAAAGGGAGACTGAAGAAAGCCAATGCATCTGGTCTAACCAGTTTTCATTCCAATGTTATAAAGCCTGCATGAACAGTTTAATTAATGGTTTTGAAGGAAACCTTGCAAGAAAAAGAACACATAAAAAGCTGTCTTCCAGATACTCAGACCATTAACAACTTCATGTTGCTCATTTTAAACTATACTCAAAGCTCCTCCAAACTGGATTCCCTTCAAAGCACAACGTCACATTGATTCTCAATTCAGTCACATTTATATCTATTTAGTTTGAACGTTCTTCATTCAATTCATCTACGTCAAAACATGCAACGCTTAAACTACAAATTGGAAGTTTCTCCCTGTGTTTTGCCCTGGTTTAACTAAGTCAACTGAAAAAAATATGTTTCTGGTTTAACCAGCACAACCTTCAGGACAAGATTTTTTTTTTTTTCCCAGCTAGGGAAACTAAGGGTTTCCAGAATAACAAAGAAAAAATGGAACAGATGCAGATATGGATATTGGAGGTCAGCCACAAATTACAGCAGTAGACTGCTGAAATTAACTATCTTCTGGAAGTACAGCTTGACTCTCTGTTTTTTTTAATTAGCTTAAGCACTGTAAAACAGGACAGGTCTTTTCTGCTTCTATATAAAGAATTGTACAAGGTACAAGTACATCTGTTAAAACATTTCAAAGTATTAAAATAAAGACAAAAAAAATTTTTTGAAGCATTATAAAGACAAAGACAGAATAAAAATGCTGCCATCTTTAATTAAATAAAAAACAGGGCTGCCCTGAACTATGCTATTCACAGTAGTAAAGAATAACTAAAGCATTTTATCTGTTCCCAGTGATCATCTCCTGTCCCCCCCAAGACAACTGGTAGACACTAATAAGAAGATTCTGAACTTCCAGCTGAAGACAGAATTCCTCTGGGACCAGAGGAAACATTAACTGGTTGCAGCCCCTGGATCTACAGCCCACGTACAAGTGACAGTCGTCCACGGGGGCCAATCTTGCATATATCAAAGAACCAACCATAACTTCAGATTAACTGATTTGCTGATTCTTCGTTATCTTGAGACGTTTATCCTTTCCAAAAGTAATGATGGTCTTCAGTCATTAGGCACCTAATCTTTTTAGACACTGAAACCCTTCAAAAGCAAATACAGAAACAGGTAAGAAAGCTTCCATAACCCAAATCCTGCACACCAAGCTGAGAGAAAAATTTTTAAGCATTGTCATGCGCCTTGGATCTGTCACCACTAACTCTACCGAAATTAAGTGTTTTCATTAAGAAGAAATGGAATTCTGCTATTTGCATGCAGTAAAACAGACGTATCTGAAAACCCAAGTTTTAATATTTTCTCTGCATCAATTATCAAGCTAAACAGTTAGAATACAGAAATCAAACTACAAAATAAAACCAAGCAGTTGAATAAAACTGTTTCTGACTAAGAGGTGTTTTTTCTCCTCCTTGCATATTTATTTTGTATCTTTATCCATTACCCATACACAGAAGGATTCCAGAATACATTACCACATTCTGAACAAGCGGCAGCAACAGATATTTCTTGAATGCATCAGTTCATGGCAGGGAGTGGGTGGGAAGGAGCAAAGACGACAGCAAAAGGCAATAGTTAAATACCATTTTAGATAAGTTACTGCAAAACTGCTCTCAGCTTTAGTATACTTTGTTAACAGAATCTAATTTCAACCTCCAAAACCACCACAGAAAACCTCAACCTTTAAATAATAAAAGGAACACTTCAGGGTTCAAAGAAAAGGCATACTTCAACTCTCCAAAACACAGTCTGACCAATAGCATGGGACAGCCATTTCATTGTCATGGATTTTCAAAAACAGAACCAGATCACTAAAAACACAAGGCATCAGTACATACTGGATAAGATCGTCAGTCTTCCCATGGCCCTGATGCCACATCAGAGGGCCCTGGCTGCCTGAAACCCCCAGGTCTAATTGAGCAAAACGTCCCCTGGGAGGAACTAAATTAAGACAAACAGAGCCTGTTTTTGCAAGATCTTGGACAGGAAATCAAAAAGGTGTTTCCAAAGTAGAAATGCCGCTGCAAACTAGCTGCTATCCCTCAGACAACGTCTAGATGCCTGAATTACATCCAGGGTCACCATATCTTCCAAAGCGGGCCTGGATTAAGAGGAAAGCACTAAACAAGGACTAATTATGAAAAAGAACCACCAAATTCTGAAGAAAAGCAATCATTTGTAGGGGAGATGGAAGGAAGGATGCAAGAACAGCAACTTCCAACGGTGCTTTTATTTCTGTTCATGATTTTGGTCAGGTTCAACAGCAGAGGCAGAAAGTGTCTAATAAAGTTTCATACTCCTCCACAGACAACTAAGAGAAACCTCTTAAATCTGATTTCAGTCTGAATGGCCATCTAATGGGATAGATGGTTTTGCCTGACAAATGCAAATTACAGGCTAGGAAACTTTATTAATTCATGTTACAGATCTGAAAAATACCAGGCAATTTAAAAAGGACTAACAGTGTAACTAGAAGAGAATTAAACATTCTGATAAATTTAGCAATAATTTATCCAAAGTACTATGCTGAGTATATTACTAAAGTGTCTGTCACAAGGGAAGAAACAGAGAAGGCAAAAAGAGAAATCATGCACACACTTAAAAGCTTTCAGCCAGACATTTTTTTCTTACCTCCTTTCAAACATGAATTTAAGCTACAACCATTGTTAAAAAATTCAACTAATCCTCTTATCTTGTATCATGGCTCTTATACCCTCCAACCGCGCAGCAAAAAAACACCCAA